CGGGAGCAAGATAAGGCCCGAAACGATCTCCGTTACGGGGCTGCGAACGCAGCCAACCAGAAACTAATGATAAGGGCCGAAGGAAGTCACACAGAGGCGGGACTTAAGGGATGTTGTTGCACGGTAGCTCCCCCAACTTTCAGGGATTCAAATATATAAAGTTGTTGTTTCGATATTTTTCCAATGCACCGCAAGAGGATTTTCTGGGAAAGTTTATATTTCGAAAGGATTATATCGAAAGGGAAAACCACTAATTGAATTTTGTAAATCTAATTCCTATTATAATACTCTTTTCGAATTTCATTAAAGTGGCTTCTCTCTTGAAATTTATATATTTTCAGGTATTAGTAAGTTTAAGTTGTGAGCTCAAATTTTGAGCAAATTGAGCTCATTGACTCTCAATCTTGTTTTTACCCCATATATTAAAAAAGAAATCCTTCCTCCTTACATTACTCGTATACTTTTTGGACTAAAAAATGCCCCCGCGACATTTCAAAAAGATACATCTGTCTCTAATTACCTACCTCTGACTCTTAATCTTGTTTTTACTCCATGTATTGAAAAAGAAATCCTCCTTCTTCACACTACTCGTATGCCTTTTGGATTAAAAAATGCCCCCGCGACATTTCAAAAAGATACAACTGTCTCTAATTACCTACCTCTGACTCTTAATCTTGTTTTTACTCCATGTATTGAAAAAGAAATCCTCCTTCTTCACACTACTCGTATGCCTTTTGGATTAAAAAATGCCCCTGCGACATTTCAAAAAAAGGCATCTGTTTCTAATTACCTTCCTCTGACTCTTAATCTTGTTTTTACCCCATATATTAAAAAAGAAATCCTTCCTCCTTGCACTACTCGTATACCTTTTGGATTAAAAAATGCCCCCGTTTCAAAAGCACACTTAATATTTCCTAGCAGCAATCTTATTCCAGATTCAGTTGGCATGTTGTTCAAATCAAGCTCATATTTTAAAGTTGTGAAAATTCTCTTACTAATCTTTGAATGAAACCCATGCAGATATAATTTGGAATGCACACTTTCTATGTTTTCATGTTCTTACCTCAAATTTTAATCAAACTGATCTTCATGTTATTATTTTCTACTGGAAAAATTTGAAATTTTGGGAAAATTAACTTCTGACCTTCCTCTTTACATGCAAAAAATATAAGATACTTCATGTTATTATTTTCTAGTGGAAAAATTTGAAATTATGAGGAAATGAGCTTCTAACCTTCCTCTTTACATGCAAAAAGTTTCAAATTTTCCCCATTTACTAGTTTTTCAGAAAAACTTTGAAATATGTAAGAGTTTATTTTCAAATAATTCAGGTGTTTTAGGTCGATTTCTAAGATTCTTCATGTTGTTAATTTCTACTGAAAAAATTTAAAATTTTGGGAAAATGAGCTTCTTATCTTCCTCTTTACATGCAAAAAGTTTCAAATTTTTCTCTTTACCAGTTTTCGAGAAAAACTTTAAAATGTGTGAGACTGTATTTTCGATTAATTCAGTTTTTGTAAGTTGATTTCCAAGATTCTTCATGTTGTTATTTTCCACTGAAAAAATTTGAAATTTTGAGAAAATGAGCTTCTAACCTTTCTTTTTACATGCATGAAGTTTCAAATTTTTTACTTTACTAGTTTTCTAGGAAAACTTTGAAATTTGTGAAAGTGTATTTTCAATTAATTCAGGTTTTGTAGGTTGATTTCCAAGATTCTTCATGTTATTATTTTCCACTGGAAAAATTTGAAATTTTGGGAAAATGATCATCTAACTTCCTCTTTACATGCAAGAAGTTTCAAATTTTCTCCTCTACTAGTTTTCCAGAAATACCTTGAAATATGTGAGACTGTATTTTCAATTAATTTAGTTTTTGTAGGTTGATTTCCAAAATTCTTCATGTTATTATTTTCCACTGGAAAAATTTGAAATTTTGAGAAAATGACCTTCTAACCTTCCTCTTTACATGCAAGAAGTTTCAAATTTTCTCCTCTACTAGTTTTCCAGAAATACCTTGAAATATGTGAGACTGTATTTTCGATTAATTTAGTTTTTGTAGGTTGATTCCCAAAATTCTTCATATTATTATTTTCCACTGGAAAAATTTGAAATTTTGAGAAAATGAGCTTCTAACCTTCCTCTTTACATGCAAGAAGTTTCAAATTTTCTCCTCTACTAGTTTTCCAGAAATACCTTGAAATATGTGAGACTGTATTTTCAATTAATTTAGTTTTTGTAGGTTGATTCCCAAAATTCTTCATATTATTATTTTCCACTGAAAAAATTTGAAATTTTGAGAAAATGAGCTTCTAACCTTCCTCTTTACATGCAAGAAGTTTCAAATTTTCTCCTCTACTAGTTTTCCAGAAATACCTTGAAATATGTGAGACTGTATTTTCAATTAATTTAGTTTTTGTAGGTTGATTCCCAAAATTCTTCAAATTATTATTTTCCACTGAAAAAATTTGAAATTTTGAGAAAATGAGCTTCTAACCTTCCTCTTTACATGCAAGAAGTTTCAAATTTTCTCCTCTACTAGTTTTCCAGAAATACCTTGAAATATGTGAGACTGTATTTTCGATTAATTTAGTTTTTGTAGGTTGATTCCCAAAATTCTTCATATTATTATTTTCCACTGGAAAAATTTGAAATTTTGAGAAAATGAGCTTCTAACCTTCCTCTTTACATGCAAGAAGTTTCAAATTTTCTCCTCTACTAGTTTTCCAGAAATACCTTGAAATATGTGAGACTGTATTTTCAATTAATTTAGTTTTTGTAGGTTGATTCCCAAAATTCTTCAAATTATTATTTTCCACTGAAAAAATTTGAAATTTTGAGAAAATGAGCTTCTAACCTTCCTCTTTACATGCAAGAAGTTTCAAATTTTCTCCTCTACTAGTTTTCCAGAAATACCTTGAAATATGTGAGATTGTATTTTCGATTAATTTAGTTTTTGTAGGTTGATTCCCAAAATTCTTCATATTATTATTTTCCACTGGAAAAATTTGAAATTTTGAGAAAATGAGCTTCTAACCTTCCTCTTTACATGCAAGAAGTTTCAAATTTTCTCCTCTACTAGTTTTCCAGAAATACCTTGAAATATGTGAGACTGTATTTTCAATTAATTTAGTTTTTGTAGGTTGATTCCCAAAATTCTTCATGTTATTATTTTCCACTGGAAAAATTTGAAATTTTGGGAAAATGATCATCTAACCTTCCTCTTTACATGGAAAAAGTTTTAAATTTTCCCCATTTACTAGTTTTTCAGAAAAACTTTGAAATATGTGAGAGTGTATTTTCAAATAATTCAGGTGTTTTAGGAGGATTTCCAAGATTCTTCATGTTGTTAATTTCCACTGGAAAAATTTGAAATTTTGGGAAAATGGGCATCTAACCTTCCTCTTTACATGCAAAAAGTTTCAAATTTTTCCCTCCACTAGTTTTCCAGAAAAACTTTGAAATGTGCGAAACTGTATTATCAATTAATTCAATTTTTGTAGGTTGATTTCCAAGATTCTTCACTGATTTTCCAGTTTTAAGTCCACACTTGAGATAAACAAAACTCTAAGCACTCTGACCAATTATATTTCGTTATGAGTAATTGTACCAGAAAGTAGGGAATAATTGTACTAGATTGGCAACAACGGAACGCAACACGCAACCCACAAATAAAGAAAATAGTTCAGAACTCGGGTAAGGTACGCGGTGGAACTGGTTCGATCCGGTTCAATTAGGTTCGAACTTCTACATTCTTGCGTTGAACCAGTGACGTCACATTGAACCTGATTCAGAAAAGTTCGATCCGGACTCATGGCTTGTTCTTCATTGACATAAGACTGTAGCTCAAACCTTCCATTTTCTCGCGTTCACAAGTGATGACGTCATCTACAAATCCCGAGAAAACACCTCAACTATGATTGAGTAGACTTTCAAGCGCCTGGAATCGATTAAAAATGTTATTCGCAAGATTATGACGTCACTGGGAGACCCATCAGAAGATGCACTTTGTAGGTACAAGGTTGTCTAGTAAAAGGTAACTTGATGACGTTAATTGGGTGCAATTGAAATATTTTTGAGACACAGAATTAGTTTTAATCATTTCTGAACCAAATTGTGATTATTCCAGGCGTTTGGCGTTCAGGCACGTATTTTCCAGTATTCTCGCATACGAAATTTGATACAATTTTGAATGCTTCCCATTTAATTTACATTGCTGTCAGTCAAATTTTGTGTACCAACTCTACTCGAATGAATTCGAGAATACGACCCCACAGAGCGAAGAGCGACACTCGACTCGATACTAGGTGGCACGAGTTGTAGTAATCCAAATTGTACTAGATGCATTACACAGGTACTAGCGTACTAGGTAAAACTTAATTGTACTAGATCTAATACAATTATACTAGAAATAGCATCCCTGTATTAATCTGAGATTAAATCTTGTTGAAACCAGATTTGGATTACATTTTGAACATATACTTTTCTGTTGTGAGCGTCCCTGCTCGGGCGCCAAAATCTCGGAAATTTCAAATAAAAAATAGCTGTTAATAGATAGAAAAATAAATCAACTAAATGAAATACTATTTCTTGGTCAAAAAGCCTGCAGGTCTCAGATGCCATTTAATTTTACATTGAGAAGAAACAACAACTGGAAAGACAGATAGGAAGGTACATTTTGAGATGGATATCAAAAGAAATATCTTACAGCGTCACACTGGACTAGCTTTGGCAGAAATGGAGGATATTTTTCCACAGAATTTGATGAACGGCTTTAGACTAAAACCTTGGAAACATATCTGAACACATTTAAGTCTCTAATAATTCTTACGCGTTGTAAATTTTCAAAAACCTTAATTTTAAGACTCTAATCAAAATGAATCTTCAGTTTCTGTGACTTGGGATATTGGAATATTGAAAATTTCATATTTTCTTATTTTTTCTTCAGACACCTAGATGGTGTTTCATGTTCATGTTGAGATTTTTTTAAAAATATTTTCTAGTTATAGACCTGGACGGACTGAATTCGGACGAAACCAATTCCGGAGACAACTCGAACGCAGGCTCCAGCATAGGCCCTGACGACGATCAAGCCAGATTACGACTGAAACGTAAACTGCAAAGAAATCGAACGTCGTTCACCAACGATCAAATTGATAGCCTAGAAAAAGGTATTCTATTTATTATAAAAGTGTCCTGGAAATTTTTTTAATACTAATTCAATAAATAGAGTTTGAACGCACCCACTATCCAGACGTCTTCGCTAGAGAACGACTAGCGGCGAAAATCGGCCTTCCTGAAGCCAGAATCCAGGTGTGGTTCTCAAACCGAAGAGCCAAATGGCGTCGTGAAGAAAAACTCAGGAACCAGCGACGAACTCCTGGAGATGGTACCGCTCCCAACGCCTCCCCTCCAAGAATACAAAGTTTCGGTAACACCAGTCCTGCCATGTACGCACCTCCAATGTCCATTGCTGACACTTATGGGTAAGAATTTCTTTAGTGTTGTTTTAAGTCAATTATTATAATTCTTTTTTCCGTAGTACAATGTCAATGTCCAACTTTAGTCATCACAGTATGGGACCTGCACCGGGAGCCTGTTTACAACAAAGAGAAAGTCCCAGTATGGGCGGATACTGCATGGGCAGACCGTCAGGGTACGACTTGGGTATCGGGTACGGTTCCAGACCTTCGCCTTGTAGTCCCGGACAGCCTTACCAAATGAACGGTCACCAGTACAATACCAATGGAACTTCAACAGGTAATTATTGAATAATGATTACTTATTATTATTGATAACGCTGTTTTTAGGTTTGATATCGCCAGGGGTATCGGTACCCATAGCAGTACCAGGCCAGAGCGATATGACTTCGCACCAGTACTGGCCTCGTATACAGTGACCTTGGTGGAATTAAAGATTTGCGTAGCTTGTAATTTATTTTTAATTGTGTGAATAGTATTGGATTGCACAAAGTGCTTGTATTTTATGAATGGTGGATCTTCTTTGTATGGGACTGTGCAAAAGAATGTAATTTTTTTTTATTTACTTAAGAAACAAGTGATTAAGATTAGTGAATTTGCTTGTTTGAGAAGTTGACCTCAAAGCGGAAGTTAGTATTTAATGTTGTGCGCGCACACTAAATTCCAAAGATTGATTTTATTTATTTTTTTTGTATAAAATTTAAACCAAAAAAAGGATACAAATTCGTTTAGTTTCAGCAAATCGTATTATTCCTTCAAATCAAGTTTCAGATTTCTCTACTATGTTATTTATTATAGGCTTTGTAATTTTTGCTTCTATAAACATATCCAAGATATTTTCGAGTAAAACATACCGATGTAATATAATTTGTAATTTTACAAAAATCATTTTGTGTGTAAATAAATTAATATAAAAACAAATATACGTTTTTTTAATAGAAGCATAAACACTTCTTATGTGATATAAATAAAATAATGTATGATGCTTTCAGGATTCATCAAATTTGACTCTGAAATCTTCAAACACTGAAATATGGAATTTTGGAAATACATATATCTTAGAAGACGGATCTTCAAATTTTGAATTTTTCCATGATATGTGGAGATTTTTGCTTCAATTAGTCGTTTAAACAACTATATCGGCTCTCGATACTAATTTCTAAAGAGCTGAAAATAGTTCTCATTTGAATCATTACTATCTCTGCATTCGCTAAACAATTTGTCTACAGAAAGGCAGTCAAGTGCCGATAAAAGTTCAAATTTTGACTATTACCGACTCTTGATTAAGCGGATATTTTTTTTGAAACAATCAAGAGGCGAAAATAGTCAAAATTTTGATTGTGACTGGCTCAAAAGCCTGCAAAAGTCCAAATTTTGATTATTATCCGGCTCTATTGATTCGTTGAATAACATTTCTGAAGAGCTAATTTTGGATTAGTACTCTCTCTGCATTCGCTAAACAATTTTTTTAGAAGTCAAGACAGTTCAGAGCCGATAAAAGTCAAAATTTTGACTATTACCGGTTCTTGAAGCAATTAAAAGTCGATGATAGTCTAAATTTTGCTTATTATTACTGACTCCTGATTCGACGCATAGTCTTTCTCAGGTCCCTAGGTAGTCAATATCAAATCCTTGGGTACGAAGTACATTTTTTTTTTTCAAAAATCTACTTCAATCAATTACCAAGTAGGTACCTACTTAGTAAAGATACCTACTGGAATTTCAGAGTTCTTAGCATGAAGTACAATTGAAGTATTTCAAGTACTCCAAATACATATTATAATGGGTCTTTCTCATAAATATAAAACATGACAATTGTTCTACAACCACATACAAAAATGACGGCAGCAAAACCACAAATCTCATTCATATCACATGTAGAGGAATACACAATAGAGAAAATCCTAGAGTAAGTGCTTCTCCGGAAAAGGAACTTCATAACAATATAGCACAAAAAGTCTCTGAGAGTCATAACGTATCTATAGACTCAAACGCTGATGTTGTTGTTTTGACCAGTGATAATCCTTTTTTAGAAGTAACATCAATAGACTAAGTGTTGTTCTATTGAATATCCAATCAATTAGAGCTAAAACGAGTGAGCTGGAGCTGTTTCTGGAACATCTTGGCTATCCGGCAGTTGTATTAATTACTGAACATTGGTTAAGGGATGATGAACCGGTTCACATTTCAGATTATAGTGTGATGGCCAAGTACTGCAGAAGCAATTCTATTCACGGTGGTACCATGATCTTTGTACGTGATTGTGTCCCAAAACAATTTAATTTTAAGGAGGTAAAAGCATATTCTGACCTTTGTGCTGAGCTGAGCTTTGAATGTTCTGTGATGTCTTCTAGCATTTTAAATTTATTTGTTATATGTATTTATCGTTCTCCAAATTCATGTAGTGATACTTTTCTCATGAAGTTGGAATTACTCTTAAGCGCCTTACCTCCTAGGTCATCTGTTATTATAGCAGGTGACTTCAATGTTAATTATGCAGAAATAAACCAAGGAATAGTCAAGTCACTCAAACATTTGTTGTGTTCATTTGGTTTGAAGATGCATGTTAATGATTTCACAAGGGTTACACAAAATTCAGCATCTATCTTAGATTATGTGTGTTCAAGTTTTGAAGAGGGTGTATTTTGTTCTGTGCTTTATCCTGGTCTGTCCGACCATGAAGCAGTGTTTTGTGAATTTTGTACTCAAGAAAAGCTGCTTAAACCAACAAGAAGACGTGGCCGCATATTTTCCAAAAGAAACTTTATGGCATTTTCGCATGCTTGCTTGGACACCGACTGGGAAAAACTCTGTAATGGCGAGCAACCTTTGCTGTCGTTTTACAATAGTCTGATAGAAATTTTTAATGCTAAATTCCCCATTGTGCAGGTAAAATCTAGAGCCAAAAAACCTTGGATAACTAAGGGTCTAAAAGTTTCTGCAAGAAATATGAGATATCTGCACTCTCTCCGTAAATTTTCACTGAGCAATGCATTCTTTATGAATTATTTCAACAAATACCGACAGATTTACCGAAGGGTTATAAAACTTGCTAAGGATAAATATTATGCCGATAGGCTGGAGTCTGCTGGTAACAAACAGAGAGAAACATGGCGCATTGTTAACTCCCTGCGAGGCAAAAACAAAGTGGATAATAATTACAACTCACGATTGGATGCCAACGCAATTAACTCTTTTTATTGCTCAATTGCCTCTCTGCTTGGCAGAAGTATTCCGTGTACCTCGGCTCACCAACTATCTCACCTGGAGGTTAAGTCTGGAGATTCATTTTACTTCACACCTGTAGTTGCTGAGGAGATTTTAGATATTTTGAGAGAGAGTAAGAGTAGAGGTTCATCGGGCTGGGATGATATTTCAACGAGGGTTCTGGCAAATCTACCCATACCAGCTCTGTCAACATTAGCTCATTGTATTAATACCTCCATTTTGAGCGGCGATTTTCCAGATCTGTTGAAGCGAGCTATTGTGATTCCAATCTTTAAACAAGGGGAGGATGTTGCCTCCAATTACAGACCAATATCCCTGCTGCCTTCATTATCAAAAATTGTGGTAAAAGTGATTAAAAAAAGAATGGTTCACTTTTTGGAAGCAAAAAATATTTTAAATAAGTCCCAATTTGGTTTTCAGTCTTCCAAGAACACAAACGATGCGATCTTCCACATTCTGGAGAAACTCTACCTGGGACTAAATGATGGGGAAGTGGCTGCGGTAGTGTTCTGCGATCTAGCAAAAGCCTTCGACTGTGTGTCGCATGAAATACTGCTGCAGAAACTTGAATTCTATGGCTTTAGGGGATGTGTATTGAGTTGGCTAAGGTCTTATTTGTCCAATAGGTGTCAGATGGTTCGTTTTGCTGATTGTGTTTCAGGGGAATTGGGTGTCACAGCGGGTGTGCCTCAGGGCTCTGTACTTGGTCCGCTCTTGTTTCTCATCTATGTTAACGACTTACCATTAATAATCAGAAACGGCCATTGTACATCCTTTGCCGATGACACTACTCTGCTTTGGCATAGCCAGGATCCACATATTCTTAGTGAAATGATAACCCAGGATCTGGCTAGTCTGAAAAGATGGTGTGACGGCAACTGTTTGTCTTTTAATGTATCAAAGACAAATATTTTAAATTTTAAGTGTATGTTAAATGATATTTGCTTAGACTCTCAGCCAGTCACGAGGACAAATTATAATAAGTTTTTAGGCTTAGTTATCGACGATAGGTTAGGGTTTGACAAACACATTGAGCAGCTGTGCTCGAAACTAGCATCAGGCTGCTTTGCAATAAAAACAATTAGGAGTGACCTGAATGTTGCAGTGGCTAGAGATGCGTATTTTGCTTTAATTGAGTCACATCTAAGATATGGTGTATGCTATTGGGGTAATTCATCCGCTTATCTTTTGAATTCTTTGTTTGTTTTACAGAAGCGTGCCCTAAGGTGCCTGTACGGGCTTAGTTTTAGGACGTCGTGTAAACCATATTTTATTAGTGAACGAATTTTGACTCTTCCAGCAATTATTATACTGGAAACTGTCTGTCTGATGCATAAGAAGCATTCCTCCATCATTCACTCCTTAAACACAAATAATACCTGCTCATCTTTTAATATAAATTTGCCAATTCCTAAATTGACGCTGACTCAAAATTCGATTTTCTATAAAAGCAAAAAGATTTTTAATCACTTACCAATGTCATTTCGGAAGATAGTGTCATACAGATTATTTAGACAACAGATAAAAATGTTGTTGCTTGAAAAGGCATATTATAGCATGGAGGAATACTTCCTTGACCATTTTTAGATTCTTACATTTACGTTTTTGTGTTTGTCTTGTGGTTTGAACTTGTTTGTAACATATTATTTTATTTTATTTTATATAGTGTGCTTGTATAGTTTATATTCTTAGCACCAAGTTTGGCTTTGTCTACAAAAATTGTTTTTTTTTTGACAATAAAGCATATTTGATTTGATTTGACAAAATTCGCACTAGCTGGTTCTTTGGAAAGTGCTAAATATCACACGCGTGCTGAAAGTACTCTCAATACGCGTGCTAAAAGTACTCCCAGCACACGTGTGGAAAATACTGTTGACATTATTTGTGATTGCGACATAACAATTTACTTTCAATACGTGGATTGAAAGTACTTTGAGCACGTGTGTTGAAAATGAAAAGAAATAAAATAAGAGAAAATTGATATAAATCGGTTTCTGGTCGTAGGAAAAATGGTGTACATCACTCATAAGAAAGTGAAATTTGTCACTTTCTAGCTTTCTACACTCGTAATGTAATATACTAGTATTCATTCATTTATTTTTCTTGGAACCTTTATCAAAAATTAACCAACAAGCCGCCTCTAATGTCTGTATCAGGTACTTTGAATATTTGAATATATAGAGTACTTCAAGACGAGCTTCAAGTACACTTTTAAAGTACTCGCAATACTTTCATTGTACTTGAAGTACTTTTGTAGTACCTACCTACATGGATGATGAAATCAAGTACAATGCAAAGTAAGAATAAAATCCATTTCTATACTACCTTAATCTAGCAACCTACAACCATCCTACATTGTTAAAAATAGTACCAAGTATAAATACCGTTTATCCACTGTACTTCAAGTAAAATATTTCAAGTATTTATAAGAACTTGAAGTACAATTTCAAGTATTTTTCTTGAAGTACCTGGTACCTGACCGATCCTTATCGATTCTACCTACTTACTACTTTTGAGTGAAAACTATTTAATTTTCAGTAAATGAAACTTTGGTTCTTGAGATAAGCAGCTTTCCAACTGTGCCCAGCACTAAACAATCTAATACGCCTAATATGACAAATAATAAGTTTTCTGTCTTTCTCATTTCACTTGAGAGAAACAAAGACAAAACTAATCCTTAACAATCAAAACATATATCCTTGCTTGTCATTTTTATTTCTAGGTTATGTTTTTTATTATTATGTGAATTTTCATTTCATGTAATAATTAATAAATTGATTTTCTGAACAAATTTTGTTTGTATTTTGAGTTCCTACAACGACCAGAGATGTTTGTATGGACTGAATAAACCTGTAAGTACGAAAAAAATCCTAAAATTATTCTGAAAAAATGGCTACAGTGGGAAGTATAGGCATTGGCCTTTTAATTTTAATAATACTTTGGATAATAACGTTAATTGTGTTTGTTGTCGGCATCAAATTGCAAAGCAACATTGCCTGGATCGTTCTCGGATTAGTTTCCGTTTTTACTATAACTTTGTTGTGCATTCCGACTGAAAAGCAACAGAGTCAGGACCTTATTGAACTTGTATCAGTGGTAAGTTCAAAGTCTGTTTGCAATTGACAAGAAGAAAAGCATAAACACATAAATAATACTGTATATAGGTAGTGGTATAAAAGTTGATTCTCAAAACAGAAAAATCGTTCTCATGAGAACAAATCTTTGATCTTTGTCACTCATAATCAGATCTTGCATAGAAATGAGAAGGATAGGGCACTTGTTCTCATAGGAACCATGCTCCCTTGTTTTGAGAAACGATATTGTAAGCAAATTTCCTAGGTCATTATTCTCAAAACAGGGAAGCAGCTTTCCTATGAGAAGGACGGTTCTATCTTCGTCGCACATAGGTACTTTTATTTCCATAATACTGACTGAGACAGAGTGGTCCTTTTCATGAGAACACTGTTCCTTGGTTTTGAGAATAAACTATCATCCTCGAGTAATTCAAATGTACCTATTTTAGAAAACCTAAATTGTAATTCGGAGAACCTCAGTTGTAATTCAGATTTTTCAAATAACCACATTTTTAATTCAGAAAATCCTAGATAACATCAGATGTAATTAATTCAGTTATAATTTTGGCTCACAATAAGATATTGAATTTTAGGCAGTCTGATCAAATATGACAATTATTTACAGGAAAAAGACTACATTATAATCTACAAAACCGCAATACTCACTTTCCTAGTTGTAAGCGCTTTGGTCGGACTATCAATATTTTTCATTGCCCATTGCATCGAACCAATCAGACCGAAACCCATCAAAACGTTCTAATAATGCTACTCACAAGACATCCACTACTGTTAAATTGTGCCAGAAAAATATTTACTTCAAACATAACAAATAGGATTATTAATATCAAAGGTAATTGTTTAAATATTTTATTGTAAAAATATAAGCATTTTTCTAGGTAATGATGAATTCCTTTCAAAGGTCATGAACTCTGAAAATCCAGTGATTGTTAACTTCCATGCTGAATGGTGTGAACCCTGCCATATCTTGACGCCCAAAATGAAAGAACTGATTGAACCGATGACCAATATTGATTTGGCAATAGTAGATGTAGAAAATCACGCAGAACTAGTGCATACTTTTGAAGTCAAGGCAGTTCCAGCTGTGATAGCCGTTAGAAATGGCCTTGTTGTTGATAAATTTATTGGTTTAGTTGATGCCACAATGATAGAGAATTTGATTAAAAAATTAGGCCAAAAGTTGTAATAAATAATTAATGTTGAAACAGATATTTTGTTTTATTATTTGTTGACTTGAGAATACTTACATTCAACCCTATAGAGTTTATAATTTAAGGATTTACGTTTTGTTCAGCATTAATCTAATTGTTTCTACTAGAAAAGTGTGACAAATATCTAAAATTTCAGTTATCTGAAATCAAAAATCTTCATTTCTTATGGTTTCAGGTGATACTGTTTCACTGATATTTAGTTGAACAAGATCAACTAAAATAAAAGAAAAAATTATATTTTTTAAACAAACACCTTACTATGAAGCTTACATTTTCCTTGGTTTATTAAATATCTTTCGATTTCCTTGTACTGTGCTAGTACCGAAGGTTTTTTCAAAATAAGTTCGTAACTAATGAAGTTTATTTGGTTCAGTACTTTTTGGATTAGTTGGTCTTCGAAAAAAGTCTTCCATTCATCTAAAGTTTCAGTATTTTTCCGTTCTTTGAAGTTGGTCAATCCTTTATAGAGAAATTGAATTTGCAGCCTGTATAGTTGCAACAAACACGAACAACTGTAAATAGAATAAGATATGTCTACCATTATTATTATTATTATTATTTTTTTTTTTTTGTCAATTCCAGGCTCTTGAATGTTTGTTTTCTCACAACCAAAAACATACAGACAACTCAAGAGCCTGGCATAGCAAAATTAGGAAAATTCAAGAACTAGGAATAAAAATAAAAAGAGTTCAAGGGACTGAAAAAAGGATTGAGGGAAATTCCTTATTTTTACAACTTTCATCTATTCCAGACTTTTGAATTTGGATTTTTCCCCAAACAAAAATATACAAAAGATTCAAGGTCCTGGTATAGGAAAATTTAAGTCAGAAATAGAAAAAATCAAAAAATGTCTTGTCTAAAATAAAAAATTATGTACTGTCTGGTCATTTTATCTTGATAACATTTTTAAACTGTCATAATTTCCCTATTTTTAAAGTTATTTTAATAAATACTGTAGGGTTGTTGTCCAAATTTTAAATAGGATGGACAAAAAACAAATGACTTATATATTTTGATAGTTATGGGCACAAATAGCATTTTTTTAAATGAAACACCCAGTACATTTTTAGTTTGTTTGATAATATGTTTCATTCTGAAAACTGAAAATTTACCAGGTATTCCATTTTAAAAAAAAAATGCTATTTCTGTGCATAACTGTCAAAATATATTAGTCTTTGTTTTTTGTCCACCCTATCTAAAACTTGGAAAACGATAATTCTACAGTATGTTTTTCTGTTTATTTAAATAACTTCAAAAATAAAGACATTAGGACAGTTTCAAATTTTATCAAGATAAAATGACCAGCCTGTACATACTTTTAAGGAATTGAATATGACAATCTTACATAAATGGGGTAATTAAACTATAAAAGCCACAAATATGAAATTTTCTGGTATCCTTCATAAGGCATTAGAGCATGATATACCAAAAATTCAAAGCAATTGAAAAAAGGACACAAAAGATACAAAGTGGTTCACACAAATACATAATTTTCGAAGGAATGAAATATGACAATCTTACATACATGGGGTAATTTGTCAAAAACTATAAAAGCCACAAATATGAAATTTTCTGGTATCATTTGAGAGGCATTAGAGTAGGACATACCAAAAATTTAAAATAATTGAACCAGACACAATAGATACAAAGTGATTTACACAAATACATAGTTTTTGAAGGAATGAAATATGACAATCTCACATAAATTGGGTTATTTCTCAAAAACTATAAAAGCCAGAGATATGAAATTTTCATAAGGCAGGATTTATCAAAAATTCAAAGCAATTGAACAAAGGATACAAAAGTTACAAAGGGATTTACATAAATACCTAGTTTTTGAAGGTATGAAATATGACAATCTTACATAAATGGGGTAATTTCTCAAAAACTATATAAGCCACAGATATGAAATTTTCATAAGGCAGGATTTATCAAAAATTCAAAGCAATTGAACAAAGGACACAAAAGTTACAAAGGGATTTACATAAATATCTAGTTTTTGAAGGAATGAAATATGACAATCTTACATAAATGGGGTAATTTCTAAAAAACTATAATAGCCACAAATATGAAATTTTCTGGTATCCTTCATAAGGCATTAGAGCAGGACATACCAAAAACTCAAAGCAATTGAACAACGGACACAAAAGATACAAAGTGATTTACACAAATACATAGTTTTGAGGAACTAAATATGACAAACTTCCATACATTGATCTTGAAAACTATAAAAGCCACAAATATGAAATTTTCAAGAAGCAATTATCTTGAGAATTTCATACATCTGTCAAAACTGGTATTGCAACAATAAATTGACATGTTTTGATTGTTGATTTGAACTAATCAGATTGTAATTACGTGATAATTTGCACTAGTGCAAATTATTAGATAATTGCATACTAGCTGGTGCGAAAACTGGTGTTTTGACAAAAAATTTAAATTTTTGATTTATGAAATTCTCTCATTAAATACAACTCGTGCAATGGAAATATATTTATAATTTTCGACAAATTTGCACTCATGCGTTTGTAACTGAAAAAGGTACTCGTGCACTACGTGCACTCGTGCTCTTTTTCAACTAAAAATGCATTCGGGCAAATTTCCCAAAAATTATCAATAATTTCCATTGCACTAGTTATATTACTATTGATAAACAAAAGTATGAAATTGTAAATCAATACTTACACGTTATCAGTATTCTCGTAATGTATCCAGTGCGACTTTTTAACAATATTATACATAAAACTCAACATGTTATAACAAACGTCCAAAGGCAAATTTTCAATTTTTATTATGTAGTTTTTCAACTGGCATGCCAATACACACATACAACAAGCATCTAAAACAATTTTGCTTTTTTTACAGCAAAAACTGCATAATTATCAACTTACTTTTATTGAAAAGTAAAACAGTTTTGGCCTTAGATCGAACCATTAGTGGTTCTTTGCTAGGATCACTTTTGAATAAATAATCTATAAATGCTTTATATTGAGAGCAATTTTTCAGAAGGAATGTTATTTGCTCTATCATTTTGTCCCCAGGTCTTGTAAAGACTAATTCTTTGAATAATTTACAAAATAATGCATCATTGATGGGCCTGGAACAAAGAAAATAATTAAACCATAATCACCTAAAATAGGGTAAAAACATACTTGCTAGTAGTAGAGTATCCTTTTAACATTAAGGCAATATTTTTTAATAAAATTGTAACAGCTATCAGAAAATCGTTTGTTTGCCTGGTCAATCTCTGCAAAATAATTATTAATAATTATTCAATACTTAAACAATCCTCACATATTTCCCAATATTTTCCACTATAGTCAACACTAATCTCAAACAATAATAATCATTTTGTACGGCACCATTTCTATGTGGAATCAATAAAGCGTACTCCCTTAAATGAGGGGGCAGTTTCAACAATTTATCATAGCAAATGAAATCAGCAGTATGCTCATTGCACAAAATCAATTGAGCAATGATCTTCAAAAGTTTACCAGCTTGAATTCCCAATTTAAAATCGTCAGATTCAATTCCTTCCAAATAATCAGTATCAGCTTGTTGTATGTCCTCGGTTTTTAAGTTTGAACCATATTCCATTAAATAGTCATTCAAATCTTTTAGCAATATCAATCCTACTGCTATTATTTTATCTATTGATTCAATATTAAGTTTATCAACTCTACTATTGGCCAAAGTTAAAATATCAGAATAAACATCTTCTATTGTTATGGGTTTTTTGTCTATTTGAGGACATTTGTGATGGAAATTGATTTCATTGCAAGTTTCTTGGTTTTGTAGGTAGGGTATAGTGATTCTGCTTAGTTTGTAAAATTTTTTAGTGTTTTTTATCAGGTGGCTTTCCACATCATTGTCTGCGAAATTTATTGTGGATAGGCATTTCAAAGGGGTGACTGAAAGAGAATGGATATTAAGTTGGTTTGTTCAATATAATAATAGATAGATATTAGATTTTATGTATTATTTCATCAATTTAATTTGAGCCTAATAGAGGAAAAGAAATAAAATTTTCAACTGAGAATAATATCAAGAAACAGAGTGAAAAAATGGCTTAATATAAAATGTATCTTACTCAGATCTAAAATAGGTTCCTTAATACTATTATTTGATTGTGGTCTATCTTTTGTATTAAGATTTCTAAAACAAATCATTTTAGTACAAAACCTACAAACTAAATGATAATTTGCACCTTTCTAGATGTTTTGGTAGTGGTTTTGGTGCTAAAACTAATTGACTATTCACAGTAGCATCCAAATTTATCCTCCTCTGATTGGCCAATTGTTGTTTCAAGTTGGCTATTTCTAAATTCTAAAACAAATCACGATAATTGTAAATCTAAAAATTGTTGTTTTGGTTACTTTGAAGTCCAAATCGCTCCTAACAGTTTTGACTTCTTTGGAAGCGCTCTGGTATTTTTCCCTCCATTCGCTTGTAGTTTTTTGTTGTTCCACTTGATGGGTGACTGTATTGTCTTTGATTTTAGATCGTAGGATACTAATTTCGCCATCCTTTTCTGCGTTTAGTTGTTTGAGTTTGGCTATTACAAGTTCTAGTTCTTTTTCTTTTATTTGCGTGTTATTGACAGCTTGAGTTGAAGAAGCAAACGAGGTAGGTTTTATGAAGGCATGGTAAGATGGCAAGATGCTTTGGTTTAGGGATTGTTCTTGCTTGAATTGGGGAAATTAATAGAAATTGATAAGTATTTATAAAGTGTGTAGTAAAATGATTCAAGGTTGGCATGAACAAAAACCCACTCATACAGAACTTATTCCTACCATAATAAGAACTATCAATCCAAAATCTATATCCTGTTCACAATCCGATCTCCACAGGTGCAGGTAAATTTATCACCTTTTCCTATCAAATAGCATTGAAAGGTGATAAATTTTACCTGTACCTGTGGACATCGGATTGTGAACGGATAATAAGATTATGCCGAGGATTATGCACTTTTTTCTTATCTACCTATATTAAACTAAATAAAAATCCCAAGGAAAAATAGTCAACTAATAGGTATTATTCAAATAGTTCTAGGATGCAAAAGTAAAAATGAAAAGTAACTTTTGAGAATTTGTACTAATGAACTAGTGGATAAATAATTAAAATCTTAATTAACAGGTTTGTAGAGAATATAATTGGCTTAAATTGGAGCTTAGTTATACTGAAATCGGATGAAAATTACTGTAGCTGTGAGGCAAAAACTGTTCCAGTGTCATTTTTGGAAGTCTTTCAATGTTTGATAATTTCAATTTTGAAGCAAAATTATTGAAACTAAATTAAAATCTTAATCAATAGGTTTTTAGAGAATTTAATTGGCTTTAATTAGAGCTTAATTACACAAAAATCGGCTGAAAACTAAAGGAGCTGTGAGGCAAAAACTGCCTCAGTGTCATTTTTGGAAATTTTTCAATGTTCCATAAATTCAATTTTAACCTTCTCAGGTGCAAAACTGTTAAAACCAAATTGAAATCCCAATTAATAGGTTTGTAAAGAATTTAATTGGTTTTAATTAGAGCTTAATTACACTGAAATCAAATGAAAATTAACGGAGCTTTAGGGCAAAAACTGTTTCAGTGTCATTTTTGGAAGCTTCTCAACCCAATAGAAATTTTCAAAAACCTAGGTTTACACACCTGTTGCATACAAAATATTGTCTACTACTAAAAATATAATGCCATAAATTTGGAAAAATATACAACGACTTTACGCCCTAGTGTAGTAATATACTTCACTAGCCTAGGGTGTAAAAAAATGGCAAAATCACATTTTTAATGCAAACAAAGGGCAGCAAAGTGCACTAGTGTGTAAAGTGAATTAAGTATGCTTGAAGCATACTAGTGCGTGAAATATAATTAAGCGTGCGTAAAGTAAGTACTTTACGCACAATTATTTTGTCTACTTACTACAGCTTGAGTAGCATTATCGAAACATTTGTTTAGGGCTTCCTCGTCTATTTCCTCGCCTTCCCATTCTTCGTCTTCGTCTAATTTTGGTTTTTTACTATTATTTAATTCATGATAATTATTATTATACCTTTTGGACATTATTTAAACAAACAACAATAAATATAAATAATTAAACAAAAACAGTCTCAGCCAGCATGCTGGAAAGCCTATTCGATAACAGAGCCAATGCTTTTTGTCTTTTTTTAATCCCATCTGTTAAAAAAGGACGGACCGAAAACAATCAGCTGACTTATAAAACAACCATTTTGATTGAGAACCAAAATGTCATTATCGAACGTATCAAAATTTTGAAGTTTTTGGCTATACTTTCTAACAAATTGGTCTTTTTATTCTCCTTAATTATTTAATTATTCTATTTTTTATGTCTTGTGTAATATTTTGTTAGTTTTTCCTAGTTTTTCCGGTTCAAAAGACGCATCGCAACTAAAATCTCGTTATCGAACGTACCCCCTCAAGCAAACATAACCTCATTTTATTTGTTTTGTTTCTTTGTGTTTGTATACAAATCCTAAAATAAATAATTATGTTTGTATTGGGTATAAATGACCTATAAATAATTAAGAAATGAGCTCAGAGAAGGTAAATTTCAATTTACTAGCCATTAAATTACTTATATTTCAATTGAAAATTGTAGCTCCTGTTTCGGCTGGAGCAGCCCCACGGAAATGGGAACATTTACTTGTCCTGGCAAAAGGGATCGGGGATTTATATGGCGACAACGGGGGTCGATTGTATCGTTAATATTTTCGATAGATATGGGGAGATAATCGAGAGGATTCGTCTACCAAAGTGAGTAATAGAGCATCTTTCTTTTTATAGAACTTGTATACCAGAGAGTCGTTATTTCAGAAAAAAAACTACTCTAAGTGCCGGTACTTTTGCTCTCATTTGACTGCCATTAAAAATAATCAGAGGTTTGAATGTGCGTTCTCACCACATCATACTTATAGACCTTGGCCCATGCAAAACTTTGACAACGTATCAAATTCGTTAATCGAGAGCAAAAGTATCGGCCTTAAGTGTGGCTTTATCAATCGCTTCTTAAGTCTTTTTTAGTTAACAAACACCTTAGAATGTGTCAATGTTAATATTACATTATTATTCTGTAGCACATTCTAATATATTTTGTTTAATACCATACACAACGATCGATAGGTATAGCAGCTCTTAGGGCCAGTTTCACAAACAACAGTAACCACAAGGTGTCTGTTTCACAATGTGTGGTTTAGCCAAGCCTCAGATTATTAGGGACAAATTTATAGTACAGTTTATAGTCTCCTTGAGGTTTCCTTAGACCTAAAGGAAGCCTTAAACGAGCAAATGTCCATTTTATACTCACAAAGGTCTATAAACCTAGCAGTCCCAAAGCTATAACTCAGTTAATAATTAATCAATTCTATTTTTTCTTCGACTATTTAGGACCACCTAAAAAGCACCTAATTCTGATACAAAAGAAAATTTTGGAAAAATATTTTTTACTATAGGGGACTACTAGCTTTCATAAACCTAGCAATCCCTTAGTTTTTTTGGATTTTCTCAAAAACTAAAGGAGCACCTAATTTTTAATTAGAGGCTCTAATTAGCACCTAAAAAGCACCTAATTATTATATAGATCCCGAAGTTTTTTTGCCATTCTGACAAACCAACATGTAAACGTAAAGCCAGCAGTCCCCTAATAATTAAAAAAAATCTGTAACTCAGTTGATAATTAATCAATTCTATTTTTTCTTCGACTATTTAGGACCACCTAAAAAGCACCTAATTCTGATACAAAAGAAAATTTTGGAAAAATATTTTTTACTATAGGGGACTACTAGCTTTCATAAATCTAGCAATCCCTTAGTTTTTTTGGATTTTCTCAAAAACTAAAGGAGCACCTAATTTTTAATTAGAGGCTCTAATTAGCACCTAAAAAGCACCTAATTATTATATAGATCCCGAAGTTTTTTTGCCATTCTGACAAACCAACATATAAATGTAAAGCCAGCAGTCCCCTAATAATTAAAAAAAATCTGTAACTCAGTTGATAATTAATCAATTCTATTTTTTCTTCGAATATTTAGGACCACCTAAAAGCACCTAATTCTGATACAAAAGAAAATTTTGGAAAAATATTTTTTACTATAGGGGACTACTGTCTTTCATAAACCTAGCAATCCCTTAGTTTTTTTGGATTTTCTCAAAAACTAAAGGAGCACCTAATTTTTAATTAGAGGCTCTAATTAGCACCTAAAAAGCACCTAATTATTATATAGATCCCGAAGTTTTTTTGCCATTCTGACAAACCAACATATAAATGTAAAGCCAGCAGTCCCCTAATAATTAAAAAAAATCTGTAACTCAGTTAATAATTAATCAATTCTATTTTTTCTTCGACTATTTAGGAGCACCTAAAAAGCACCTAATTCTGATAAAAAAGAAAATTTTGGAAAAATATTTTTTACTATAGGGGACTACTAGCTTTCATAAACCTAGCAATCCCTTAGTTTTTTTGGATTTTCTCAAAAACTAAAGGAGCACCTAATTTTTAATTAGAGGCCCTAATTAGCACCTAAAAAGCACCTAATTATTATATAGTTCCCGAAGTTTTTTTTCACCTTGGGACTGCTAGGTTTATGGACCTTACTCACAACTCCCAAGAAAGCATTAATGAACGACTATAAATTCGGCCATTATTCAAGTCTTACTTTGCAAACTTGTGGTCAACTTGTAACTATTAGGTAGATAACTAGTGCATCAGGTTAACATCCGTTGTGAAACTGCACCTTAATATGCCATTTTTTTGTAAACAAACGGTTATTTCCTGACAGAAAAAATATGAATAAAAAAGATCTTCAGGTGATATACAGGTTAACAAAGGACCCTGCACTGGATTCATAGGATTTTGGGTTTCTGGTGAAAATCTGTAAAATTTCCAAATTTTGTATAAATTAACGTGCTGCTTAAAAGTCCAAATGGCAAAAATATCGTAACTCTTCATAGTATGCCTCTCATAGACTCTCCTATTCCAGACCCTTTCTAATCTATACAGAATGTTTATTGATTGATTTACTTATTATTTTGGTATTTGTTTTCTCACAGCTTGTTTGTGTGTGTATTAGGGCCAGGTAGGTCAGAGTCCAATGTAGGTTGGCTCCCCTAAATACTAGAGATTAAAGTCTTTTTCATATGGAAAAGTTAATTTAAAGTTCATTTGAATTCATTCTCACAATAATGCATGTACAAATGATTAAAATCTTCAAAAATCACTTGTGCAAAATGCTTCTAATGATCACAGTAACTTGAAACTTTCAGGATTTATGAATTGGAGTTTCCGCTTTGTGGAAAAGTTAATTTGAACTTGATTTGAAGCTTCAAACTAAATTTGGAAGCTTTTTCTTAAGTTAATACATGCAAAAATGATTAAAATCTGCAAAAATCACTTGTGCAAAATACTTCTAATAATCACAGTGACTTGAAACTTTTAAGATTGATAAATTGAACTTTCCTTTTCATGGAAAAGTTAGTTAGAAGTTGATTCGAAGTTCCAAACTTTATTTAGAAGCTTTATTTCACGGTAATGCATGCAAAAATGATTAAAATCTGCAAAAATCACTTTTGTAAAATACTTCTAATGATCACAGTAACTTGAAACTTTCAGGATTTATGAATTGAAGTTTCCCCTTTGTGGAAAAGTTATTTTGAAGTTGATTTGAAGCATCAAACTAAATTTGGAAGCTAAGAGAGAAATAAAAACAAGAAAATGTAATTAAGAAAGTGGGCATTTCTCTTCCAGCATTTCAAACAACTTACAGTCGTAGATAAGAGGTGACACATTTTACTACACTTGCCATGGAAGGCTCAACATTTTAACTAGAATAATGTAGCAAATAATATCTACAACTTTCTGATTCGCATTTATCTATTTTGACATAAAATACCTGGTTATAATAAAATTATTATTGTAGATTCTAGAGTAACTAATTTGAATTTGAATCTTTAGTGTATCATGCTAAAGAAATTAGTTCATCCACAAATTATTATTGTAGCCTTTGTACCAGCTTCAGTTGGGACATCGACGGTGACTTATTAGGCATAGTATGCCAATCTCAATTAATAATATGGGACGCAAACGCTTCTAAAAAAACCGTCATCGATGTAGGACTAAAAGACTATATGTCTTGCTTGATTTGGGCCAAAACTGGCCCCTTATTAGCTGTAGGGACTACCAAAGGGAATGTCTCAATTTACAATCATAATACTTCAAAGTAATGTGAGCTACAATAATAAATACCTCAATAATATCAATGACATTTTAGACGAATTCCTATAGTGGGAAAACATACAAAAAAAATCACATGTGGTGCTTGGAACAAGGAAAATCTTTTAGCTCTTGGCTCTGAAGATAAAACAATTTCTGTTAGCAATATGGAAGGGGACACTTTGAAAGTTATTAATTTAAGGGCAGATCCTACAGATTTACAATTTTCTGATATTAAACTAGATGAAAAGAGTAAAGGAGAAAACACTGTAAATAATTACAAACAGTAAAATATATAGCAATACTAATATATTTATATTTCAGATTAGTGCAATTGTAGGCAGGCGCACTTTATACCTATACAAACTCCTTGATCCAGATAACCCATTTGAATTAGCCTTCCAGCAACATTATGGCTCTATAGTTGCCTACCGATGGTACGGAGACGGTTACATTTTGATAGGATTTTCAGCTGGGTTTTTCATATCAATTTCCACCCACATAAAAGAAGTTGGACAGGAACTTTTCCAAATCCGAAACCACAAAACCATACTCACTGATATATCAATTTGTCCAGCGATAGGCAAAGCAGCTTCATGTGGGGATACTAGCGTTAAAATTCATGATTTAGCGAATCTACAAGAGACGTCTAGTGTGTTGAATTTGCCACAAGAATCTGGGTTGGAACGGATTTCTTGGAGCAGTGACGGGCAATTGTTGGCAGTTATAACTAGAGGCGGATCGGTTAATGTGTATGTCAGTCATATGCAGTTGCTCAGTGCAGTTTGTCCGCCTAGGATAGCTATGTTGTCTAGTTTGAATGAAGTTAGTCTTTATACTTATAGTTCTGATAAGGTAAGAATTTATTTATAAGGCCTTGGTTTTACCTTGATAGTTAACTATTGTAATTATTATTCCAGTCAATTAAAGACACTTTGAACTACCTATATTTCCTGTAAGTTTGTTTGATTTTTTCCAGATATGTCTCATTGAAACTTCAATGTTTTACTTGATAAAAAAATTCATAACTTCAGTTTCAATGTCGATATTGACTTACGGTTTGTTCCGGTCACTAAAAGACACTTTGAAGTATATTTCCTGTAAATTTGAAGTTGCTAGTTTGACCAGAAAAAAATCTGAAAGTCTCTCATTGAAGATTCAATGTTTTATCTGACAAAAAAATTCATAACTTCAGTTTCAATGTCGATATTGACTCACGGTTTGTTCCGGTCACTAAAAGACACTTCGAAGTATATTTTCTGTAAATTTGAAGTTGCTAGTTCCATCAGAAAAAAATCTGATTTTTTCCAGATGTATCTTTAAAAATAATCTTTGAAAAATATTTCCAGCCATCACAGCGATTTGAAATTTACAGGATTTATGAAATATAGACTCTTTTATAAGGTGAAATAAATCAAATGTGGTTCTTGAACCCAGAAGCAAAGTTAGGAATTTTCTTTTGAGTTGATGCATGAAAAACACTCAAAAATCTCTCTAATTGACTCCATACCTTATCGTGATTCTACTCTATTTCCATTATTCCATGTTCCAGGAGAAACTGAAACCAACCATTGTCAATCTGGATACCGAACCAGCATTTATTGGTATCGGCCAGTATCACATGGCAGTGGGAATGAACAACCGCATCTGGTTTTACGATCTCACTAAACCTCAACCAGGCTCAGAAGAATCCCCTTTAAAACTGGGTGATCGTCAATATTTAGGTGCAATAACCAGCGTAAAATTGAATCCAGAATACGCTTCAGTACTTTTTGAAGGCAAAATTCAATTGCACATGGTTAGAAATTTATTTTAACCAATAAATGTTTTTTCAAGTTGATTTTGATTTAGATTGAACAACCTGAAGTTTGCCACGAAGAACGTGAATCAATACTTTTCCCTGAACCATCTAAAAATCTTGTAATAACCTGCCATGAAATCACTACGGATTTTTTAGTGTATGGCACAGACACTGGTCAAATAATCTATTTCCACATTGAAGAATGGGCCAAGGCAATTGAATATAATCACAATGTGGGTATAAGTAAGGTTTTTTTGGATCCTGCAGGCACAAGGCTAGTTTTCATTGATGTCAAAGGCCTTGGCTACGTCTACAATGCACCTATAAACCAACTAATCCCAATACCAAATGTCCCAAATAAAATCCTAGGAGTTACTTGGGATAGTAACATTTTGGACAGAAATGTATTTATTGTATACGACGACAGCAATATACATACATATTTGTATGTTAAATTGCATTTAGATGGTACCAGGGTGCTTGAAATAGGCGAAACTGTTTTGGTATCTAAACAAACCCCTTTGATAATGTACCAAGGAGAAGTTACATGTGCAACATCAAGTGGAGAATTGTCTCAGTTGGGTTTAACAACTCATTGTGTGTCTCAACAGGTTGGTATGATTGAGAGGGACGGAAAAATCATGGAAGAGAATTTTCAGAAGCAATTGGCATTGCATAGGTAAACGGTTTTTAATGCAAATATATTATTTAATGTTGGTTTTTTAGGTTTCAGGCTGCCTTCAAAACGTGCCAGAGTCTTAAATCTAAAGATTTATTGCTGGTGTTGGCTGAGGAATGTCTGAAATGCCTTGAAATTGATACAGGTAAAAAAATGCATTCTTTTACATGTTGATATTTTTCTGAAAAACTAGTGGAGGGAAAATTTTGAAACTATTAGGATAAAAAGAAAATAATTAGGAACTCATCATACTAAAATTTCAGATTTTTTCGATTGAAAATCATGACATGAAAAATTCCTGAAAATCGACTTCCATAGTTTGAATTTTAAAGAAATGCATACACTTACATTTTAATATTTTTCTGAAAAACTAAAAGAGGGAAAATTTGGAAACTTTTGGGATAGAAAGAAAATTATCAAAAACTCATTATACTAAAATTTCAGATTTTTTCAATGGAAAATCATGACATGAAAAATTCCTGAAAATCGGCTTCCATAGTTTGAATTTTAAAGAAAGGCATCTACTTACATTTTAATATTTTTCTGAAAAACTAAAAGAGGGAAAATTTGGAAACTTTTGGGATAGAAAGAAGATAATCAAGAGTTCATTATACTAAAATTTCAGATTTTTCCAATGGAAAATCATGACATGAAAAATTCCCGAAAATCAGCTTCCATAGTTTGAATTTTAAAGAAAAGCATCATACACTTACATTTTAATATTTTTCTGAAAAAGTAAAAGAGGGAAAATTTGGAAACTTTTGGGATAGAAAGAAGATGATCAAGAGCTCATTATACTAAAATTTCAGATTTTTTCCAATGGAAAATCATGACATGAAAAATTCCTGAAAATCGGCTTCCATAGTTTGAATTTTAAAGAAAGGCATCTACTTACATTTTAATATTTTTCTGAAAAACTAAAAGAGGGAAAATTTGGAAACTTTTGGGATAGAAAGAAGATAATCAAGAGTTCATTATCCTAAAATTTCAGATTTTTCCAAAGGAAAATCATGACATGAAAAATTCCTGAAAATCGGCTTCCATAGTTTGAATTTTAAAGAAAGGCATCTACTTACATTTTAATATTTTTCTGAAAAACTAAAAGAGGGAAAATTTGGAAACTTTTGGGATAGAAAGAAGATAATCAAGAGCTCATTATAGTAAAATTTCAGATTTTTCCAATGGAAAATCATGACATGAAAAATTCTTGAAAATCAGCTTTCATAGTTTGAATTTTAAAGAAGTGCATACACTTACATTTTTCTATTTTCCTGAAAAACTAAAAGAGGGAAAATTTGGAAACTTTTGGGATAGAAAGAAGATAATCAAGAGTTCATTATACTAAAATTTCAGATTTTTCCAAAGGAAAATCATGACAAAAATTCCTGAAAATCGGCTTCCATAGTTTGAATTTTAAAGAAAGGCATCTACTTACATTTTAATATTTTTCTGAAAAACTAAAAGAGGGAAAATTTGGAAACTTTTGGGATAGAAAGAAGATAATCAAGAGTTCATTATACTAAAATTTCAGATTTTTCCAAAGGAAAATCATGACATGAAAAATTCCTGAAAATCGGCTTCCATAGTTTGAATTTTAAAGAAAGGCATCTACTTACATTTTAATATTTTTCTGAAAAACTAAAAAAGGGATAATTTTGAAACTTTTGGGATAGAAAGAAGATAATCAAGAGTTCATTATACTAAAATTTCAGAGTTTTTCAATGGAAAATCATGACATGAAAAATTCCCGAAAATCAGCTTCCATAGTTTGAATTTTAAAGAAGTGCATACACTTACATTTTAATATTTTTCTGAAAAACTAAAGAAGGGAAAATTTTGAAACTTTTGGGATAGAAAGAAGATAATCAAGAGTTCATTATACTAAAATTTCAGATTTTTCCAAAGGAAAATCATGACATGAAAAATTCCTGAAAATCAGCTTCCATAGTTTGAATTTTAAAGAAGTGCATACACTTACATTTTAATATTTTCTGAAAAACTAAAGAAGGGAAAATTTTGAAACTTTTGGGATAGAAAGAAGATAATCAAGAGTTCATTATACTAAAATTTCAGAGTTTTTCAATGGAAAATCATGACATGAAAAATTCCCGAAAATCAGCTTCCATAGTTTGAATTTTAAAGAAGTGCATACACTTACATTTTAATATTTTTCTGAAAAACTAAAGAAGGGAAAATTTTGAAACTTTTGGGATAGAAAGAAGATAATCAAGAGTTCATTATACTAAAATTTCAGATTTTTCCAAAGAAAAATCATGACATGAAAAATTCCTGAAAATCAGCTTCCATAGTTTTGAATTTTAAAGAAGTGCATACACTTACATTTTAATATTTTTCTGAAAAACTAAGAAGGGAAAATTTTGAAACTTTTGGGATAGAAAGAAGATAATCAAGAGTTCATTATACTAAAATTTCAGAGTTTTTCAATGGAAAATCATGACATGAAAAATTCCCGAAAATCAGCTTCCATAGTTTGAATTTTAAAGAAGTGCATACACTTACATTTTAATATTTTTCTGAAAAACTAAAGAAGGGAAAATTTTGAAACTTTTGGGATAGAAAGAAGATAATCAAGAGTTCATTATACTAAAATTTCAGAGTTTTTCAATGGAAAATCATGACATGAAAAATTCCCGAAAATCAGCTTCCATAGTTTGAATTTTAAAGAAGTGCATACACTTACATTTTAATATTTTTCTGAAAACTAAAGAAGGGAAAATTTTGAAACTTTTGGGATAGAAAGAAGATAATCAAGAGTTCATTATACTAAAATTTCAGAGTTTTTCAATGGAAAATCATGACATGAAAAATTCCCGAAAATCAGCTTCCATAGTTTGAATTTTAAAGAAGTGCATACACTTACATTTTAATATTTTTCTGAAAAACTAAAGAAGGGAAAATTTTGAAACTTTTGGGATAGAAAGAAGATAATCAAGAGTTCATTATACTAAAATTTCAGATTTTTCCAAAGGAAAATCATGACATGAAAAATTCCTGAAAATCAGCTTCCATAGTTTGAATTTTAAAGAAGTGCATACACTTACATTTTAATATTTTTCTGAAAAACTAAAGAAGGGAAAATTTTGAAACTTTTGGGATAGAAAGAAGATAATCAAGAGTTCATTATACTAAAATTTCAGAGTTTTTCAATGGAAAATCATGACATGAAAAATTCCCGAAAATCAGCTTCCATAGTTTGAATTTTAAAGAAGTGCATACACTTACATTTTAATATTTTTCTGAAAAACTAAAGAAGGGAAAATTTTGAAACTTTTGGGATAGAAAGAAGATAATCAAGAGTTCATTATACTAAAATTTCAGAGTTTTTCAATGGAAAATCATGACATGAAAAATTCCCGAAAATCAGCTTCCATAGTTTGAATTTTAAAGAAGTGCATACACTTACATTTTAATATTTTTCTGAAAAACTAAAGAAGGGAAAATTTTGAAACTTTTGGGATAGAAAGAAGATAATCAAGAGTTCATTATACTAAAATTTCAGAGTTTTTCAATGGAAAATCATGACATGAAAAATTCCCGAAAATCAGCTTCCATAGTTTGAATTTTAAAGAAGTGCATACACTTACATTTTAATATTTTTCTGAAAAACTAAAGAAGGGAAAATTTTGAAACTTTTGGGATAGAAAGAAGATAATCAAGAGTTCATTATACTAAAATTTCAGAGTTTTTCAATGGAAAATCATGACATGAAAAATTCCCGAAAATCAGCTTCCATAGTTTGAATTTTAAAGAAGTGCATACACTTACATTTTAATATTTTTCTGAAAAACTAAAAGAGGGCAAAATTTCGAAATTTTTGGGATAGAAAGAAGATAATCAAGAGTTCATTATACTAAAATTTCAGAGTTTTTCAATGGAAAATCATGACATGAAAAATTCCTGAAAATCAACATTCATATAATTTGAATTTTAAGAAAATGCATCCACTTACATTTTAATATCTTTCTGAAAAACCAGAAGAGGCAAAATTTTGAAATTTCTAGGATGAAAAGAAGATTCAAATTTTTTCAATGGAAAATCATGACATTAATCTCATTTATTCTTTTTCCAGCCATCCAAATCTACACTCAACTAGAAGATGTATCCATGGTCATGTGCCTCAAAAACATCCAGGACATTGAAGACTGGAAACTGCTCTTGGGTTATGTTGCAATGTACCTAAACCAAAACGACAAAGCCCAAGACTGGTTCCTAAAATCAAACCGACCTTTGGTAGCTCTGGAAATGAGACGCGACTTGTTACAATGGGAGGAAGCTTTGCAATTGGCCCAAAAAATGGCTCCGGAACAAATTTCCATGATATCCAGAGAGTATGGACAACAATTGGAGTTTTTGTAAGTTGATTATGGTATAAATCAAACAAGTTTAAAAACAATTAATATTTAGAGGTGATTATGGCAAAGCCTTGATTCATTACGAAAAAGGGCTTCAAGAAAATCTCAGCCCTGAACACACGTTTACTTGTAAGGCTGGCATTGCCAGAACAACGTTGCAATGTGGAAATTACAGGCACGGTATCAGTATAGCTGTGGAGCTGGATAATAAACAACTCATCAGGGAATGTGCTGAAATATTAGACAAAAAGAAACAAATTGCTGAAGCTGCTTTGTTGTTTGAAAAATGCGAACAGGTAACAAACGGTTTAGTAAACTACATACATATTTCAAATGAATTGTTTTTAGTTTGATAAAGCAGCATCAAATTATATAATATTGAAAAATTGGTCAAAAGTAGGTGAATTGTTACCCAATGTAATTTCAAATAGAATTCACTTGCAATATGCTAAAGCCAAAGAAAAAGAAGGCAAATTTGAAGAAGCGGCCAAGGCCTATGAAAAAGCAAAAGACAATGATTCATTGATACGATTGCATTTAGATCATTTAAATAATCCAGAAGTTGCTGTGGAAATTGTACAAGAAACTAAAAGCGTAGAAGGAGCAAAACTTGTAGCCAAGTAAGAAGTTCCAAATATTAAATAAACAAATTTTTAATTATTTTCCAAATAGATTTTTCCAAAAACTCAACGACATAACTTCAGCTATAAAATTTCTCGTGCTGTCAAAGTGTATCGGAGAAGCATTCGATTTGGCCAAAAAATCAAACAAAATTGAACTCTACGGCGAAGTCTTATTGAATAGTTTTACAGAGGATGAAGTTAAACCTAAAGATTTCGTTAATGTGGCTCAATATTTTGAAAACCAAAAAGACTCCTTGATGGCTGGCAAATATTGGTTTCATGCAAAAGAATACCAAAAGGTACTTTGTCTATATTTTGTACAGAAACTATTAATACTCAAATGGTTATTATTTTAGTCAATGAAACACCTTTTACAAGCAGCCAAATCAAACTCAAAAGAAAAAGACGCCATTACAACAGCCATAGACGTAGTAGCTTCTTCAAATGATGCAAAACCTATCTCAAACCCTAATAGAGTTTCTTTTGGGAGATTCAGATGGTTTGCCAAAAGACCCCAAATATTTATTTAGATTGTATATGGCCAGGAAACAATATAAAGAAGCCTCTAAGTCGGCTCTAATTATTGCAAACGAAGAGCAAATTAATGGTTTTTACAGAAACGCTCACGATGTATTATTCGCAATGCATCAAGAGTTGAAGCACAACAACATTAAAATTCCCTATGAAATGTACGCAAACCTGATGCTTTTGCATAGTTATATTTTGGTGCGGATGCATATTAAAAGGGGCGATCACATGAAAGGTGCTAGAATGCTTATAAGGGTTGCTAGCAATATTTCCAAATTTCCTTCACGTAAGTTATTGCTTTTGAATCAATGTATTTGTTAATAGCTTTTTGTAGATATTGTTCCAATATTGACTTCGACTGTGATAGAATGTCATCGAGCAGGTTTGAGACAAGCTGCCTACAAATATGCAACTACCCTTATGAATCCTGAATATAGGAAACAAGTAAGGATTTTGTTTTATTGATTATGATTTGATTTTTTTCTATTTGCGATTCTGTTTTTTTTTTTTTTTTTTAAATTTTGTTGCAATTTTTGCATAAGCGCAGCTAGGCTCCAAATTTGAGGGGTGCAAAAAAAAGTAAGGGTGTAAAAAAAAAGTTAGTTTCACGAGGGTTTGTACTTACGTCATCATTTGCCTTTTTTTTTTTGAAAAATAGGTTTTCTTTTATGTCTGAAATTTCAAACAAACATATAGTTTGTTGCACGGCACGAAGGTTTTTACTTACGTCATCGATGACGTCATAACTTAGAGAAAAAGTTAAGTCATAGATTAATTCATATAGTACCTTTGGAATTATTGTTTTGTAATACATTTTTAAACTTAGAATAGAGTTTATTCAGTTATCCAAAAATATATAAATAAATTTCTCCTGGAGTGATTTTTCACTGGAAAATTTCGAAATTTTCCTTTAATGAGCTCCTCATTTTCTCTTTTTCCTGGAAAATGTTCAAAGTTTTCCTTTTGCCAGTTTCCAAAAAAAAAAAATTAAATGTAGAACGGTGAATTTTCCTTAATTTTGCATAACTCAATTTTCCAGAATTTTTGCTGGAGTCATTTTTCACTAGAAAATTTTGAAACTTTCTTATATTGAGTTCCTCACTTTCCTCTTTCTTCTGGAAAAATTTCACAATTTTTGCTTTGCCAGTTTTCCAGAAAAAAATTAATGAATGAATTTTGCTTAAAAAAGTCAATTTTCCAGAACTTTCCTCTCGACTTTCCTTGGAGTGATTTTCCACTGGAAAATTTTGAAGTTTTCCTATAATGAGCTCCTCATTTTCTTCTTTCTCTTGGAAAAATTTCACAAGTTTTGCTGTATTAGTTTTCCTGAAATAAATTGAAATGTAAGAGGATGAGTTTTTCTATATTTTACTTGAAAAAGTCAATTTTCCAGAATTTTCCCTGGAGTGATTTCTCACTGGAAAATTTCGAAATTTTCCTATAATCAGCTCCTCACTTTTCTCTTTTTCCTGGAAAATGTTCAAAGTTTCCCTTTGCCAGTTTCCCCAAAAAAAATTTAAATGTGAAAGGGTGAATTTTCTTTAATGTCGCTTAAATAACTCAATTTTTTATGGAGTGATTTTTCATTGGAAAATTTTAAAATTTTGCTATAATGAGCTCTTTACTTTCCTCTTTTTTCTGGAAAATTTTCACAATTTTCCTTTTGCCAGTTTCCCGGAAACAAATTAAAATGTAAGAGGTGAATTTTGCCCAAAAAAGTGAATTTCCCAGAAGTTTTCCTGGGGTGATTTTCCACTGGAAAATTTTGAAATTTTCCTATAATGAACTGCTCACTTTTCTGTTTCTTCTGGAAAAATTTCACAATTTTCCCTTTGCCAGATTTCTAGAAAAAAATTAAAATGTAAGTAACATAAAGTAAATAAGTCAATTTTCTTTGAATTTTTCCTGGAGTAATTTATCATTGGAAAATTTCGAAATTTTCCTATAATGAGCTCCTCACTTTTCTCTTTCTTCTGGAAAATTTTCACAATTTTTTCTTTTCCCTTTGCCAGATTTCTAGAAAAAAATTAAAATGTAAGACTGAATTCTCCTTAATTTCGCGTTAAAAAATTTTTCCTGGAATGATTTTTACTGGAAAATTTTGAAATTTTCGTAAAATGAGCTCCTCATTTTCCTCTTATTCTTGGAAAATTTCCAAAATTTTCCCTTTGCAAGTTTTTTTAAAAAAAATTAAAATGTGAGAGGGTGATTTTTTCCAATTTTCTTGAATTTGTGATGATCTATTTAGAGAAAGTTTTTGACTAAAACTCAACTTTGAGGCTCAATCGCTCAAAAATTATTTGAGCTATAAAACTCAATTTAGCATAGATTTATAGGGAATTTAATACTCTTTCCAGCAGTGTATAATTTATTTTGATTTGATCAAATTTTACAGGAAATATTGGCAATTTCTTCACCTTGTCATGATTCAAAAAAAAAATTAGAACCATTAGGCTTTAAAAAACCTGAGAAAACATCAGAGTTTGAAGTTTTTTTTTTTTGTACAATTTTGTCAGATAACTTTTGTCAGGAAATTTCACAGTGGTAAACTCATATAGGAAGGGTTTTCTGAGAGTCTTTTAAGAAGTAATGAATTGAAATTCAGGATCTCAATAACCTTATCTTAGAAGGATCAGAAAATTTGCCAAATAATAAATCAGAATTAAGGATTTAGAGATTCTAGATTTTCTGTGATTCGAGAAATTTGCAAAATTATACCTTAAAATTACGGATCCTAACATTGTTTAACTTATTTTTTTAGAGAAAAACTAGGCAATATACAAAAGTATTGATTCAAGGTTCAGAATCTGAAAATCCTATAGCAGCCTTTTCAGAGAAAACCCCTGAAATTTGAGGAGAATAATTCATTCTGAAGTCAAGAAATACACAAAATATAGCTCAATGAATTTTCTAAAAATACAAAAAAAGCAGCCAATCCGTGGTTTATTTTTCAATAAATAATTCATTATTTTGTTCAAGGTGGATCCGAAATATGCAAAAAAAATCGAAGCTGTAGTCCGGAAAACTCCTAAAAGTGGCAACGAAGCTGATCCTGTAGAACCCACCAGTCCTTGTCCTTATTGCGACAAATCCTTACCTGAAACTGAAGTTACTTGCAACAATTGCAAAAATAATTTACCATTTTGTATAGTAACTGTAAGTATTAATTTCAATCATTTATTATGTAAATTAAAATACTTTTTGAATGTTTTAGGGCCATCATATTACCAATATTGATCTTACCAGTTGCCCGAATTGTGAATTTCCAGCTTTCAGGGAGGATTTTCTAGAGTAAAATTTAGGGTCTGTAGACTATTATTTATTGAATTATTGAATTATTTTTTAGGGTCCTTAAAACTGAAGAATCTTGTCCTATGTGCTCGGAAGTAGTAGACACTGGCCGTTTAGTACGGTTACAGGATATCAAGCAATATTTGAATATTGAATAAGTTTTAATAATATGTTTTACTTACATGGAAAATGATCTCGTACAATTTAGCTTTGCAATGTTTCATTGTTAGAATTATTTATTGTTATTTTATATTTTGTTGATTAGAGTGGAACTTTTTATGTTGGTTGGGTATGTTTTATTTAAAATTTTAAAAATAATATGGTGCAGAATTGAAGTTTGGCAACAATGGTTGATGATTATGGATGGAGATTCATGATTTTTACAAAATCTAACTCATATAGAGAGATGCGAGGGGTGGTGATCTCTTGATATTGCCTAAAATCTTACAAAATCTAACAAAATTTTATTAAAACCAAAAAAATCCTGCAAAATCTCATAAAATCATTAATATTCCCAAAAAATATTTGCTTTGAAATTCCTAAAAATCCTTTGGAATCCCCAAAATTCTGTTAGTCTCTCAGAATTCCATAATTTAGTGGAATTTTGAGGAATTCTGGTAGAACTATGTTATTCTGAAAAAGGAATTACATAGACATAGAATTCACATTAAATTTTAGTTCTTACTGAATTTTAGTAAAAGTGGAATGTCGAGGAATTTCTGGCTAAAAACATGGAATTTCGGTGATATTCCGAAAAATTCCCATGTAATGACATGAAATTTCAATATATTTTGAATGAATTTTCAAGAAATTACTTGAAGTTTCATTAATATTCGTAGAAATTCCTGGCTATTAAGAGAGAATTTCAGTGAAATTACAAAATTCTTATGAAAATAAATGAAATTTTAAAAAAATCCTTGAAGTTTCATTGGACTTTCCAAAAATTTTCGACTATGAACATGGAATTTCCAAATATTCTCATAAAATTTTAGAGAATTTTGAGGAATTTTCAAAAAATTACATCAAATATCAATTTTATGAAAATTTTGTGAAATTCCAAGATATTTCAGTGATGAAATTTTGGGGAATTTCAGTGAAGTTAAAAAAAAAAAAAATTATGGAATTTTGAATTTGAAATTTTAATGGAATTCCGAGGAATTTCATAAAATCCTGTACTGTACTAATTCCGAAAAAAATTTGTTTTAAGAATTCTATAAAATTTTCTAGTGAAATGTTAAAAAAAAAGGAATTTCTATGGAATTAACTAAAATTTTCACGGAATTCCTATGGAATAACTTGAAATTTTAGTGGAATTTCGAAGAATTTCATGACATTTCATAATGTAATTCCGAGAATTTTTTGTCCAAGAATTTCATTGAATTTTATGGTGGAATTCCATAAATTCTAATAGTGAAATTTGGAAAAGTAGTAAAATTTCTAGGAATGGAATTCCGAGGAATTTCGGTAGAATTATGTTATTCCGTAAAAGGAATTACATGTGAAATTTTTGTGGAGTTTTTACAGAATTCACATTAAATTTTAGTTCCTCTCGAATTAGGTACATGAAATTTCGAGAAATTTCAGTGGAATTTGGATCGAATTATACAAAATTCTAAATGAATTGCATGAAGAAGTTCTAAACAATTACATGGAATTACATCGAAATTTCCAACATGAAATTTCAGTGTTCGTTAAATTACATAAAGAATTTCAAAAAAGTTTCAAAAAATTACATGAATTCCGAGGAATTTTCATCGAACTATATAGAGCTCCGATGCAATGGAATTCCAAGGAATTGTCAGGGAATTACTTACATGAAATTTAAGTCGAACTTTGAACAACTCTTATCGTTTTATAAAGAATTCCAGTGAAATTCCAAAAAATCCCAATGTAATTACACGAGGTTTTGTTTTTATCCCAAGGAATTCCCAGTTAAAAATATGGCATCTTAGTGAAATTGAAATTCCGAAAAATTTCCATCGAATTACTGAATTTTAGTAAAATTTTAGGGAAAATTTCACTAGTGGAATTCCGAGAAATTTTCGGTTAAAAAGTTGGAATTTCAGTGAAATTTGGAAAAATTCCTATGTAAATGATATGAAATTTCAATATATTTTGGAAGAATTTCGGTGAAGAATACTTGGAAGTTTTATTAATATTCTTATGGAAATACTTAAATGAAATTTTGAAAAAAAAAAGTTTCATTGGAATTTCAAGAAATTTGCAACTAATAACGTGGAATTTCAGTGAAATAAATTTTATGAAAATTTTTTGGAATTCCAGGATATTTCAGTGGTGAAGTTTTGGGGAATTTCAGTAAAGTTTCACAAAAATTATGGAATTTGGAATTTCTATAGAATTTTGAAGAATTTCAGTGGGATTTTGAAAAAAAAAAAGAAATATTGGTTTTTCATTTTCATCAAATTATACAGGGTGTCCCACGGTGGATGGCGTATTAGACGTTTATGGAGAACTAAAAAACGGATCATTTTGAAAATTTGGCAACCGGAATAAACGACCATGATCTACACTTTAAAAATATTTTTGACCATGCGGTGTTGCCGCTTCTACTCTAAACTAGTGGCAACATCACTATTTTAAATGGAACACCCCGTATTAAATTGCATATTTGGATTCTACGTAAAATTCTGAGCAGATTTCATGTGATATACCCTATACCTAAGTTCAACTGTTTTGGAAATATTGACAGTTGAAAATTGACTTTTTGCAACTTTGACAGGCTGTAGAACCGGAACGGTTAATTTTAGAGTAAAACCGATTTTACATTCCTGTCTTAGATTTTTATAAACTATCATTTGACACCATCTTTAAATTAAATCCAAGATTAAAAATTTCAGTTAAATTTAATCTCCGGTTAAGTTCAAAGTTGGTGTCAAATGATAGTTTATCAAAATCTAAGACAGGAATGTGAAATCGGTTTTCCTCTAAAATTAACCAATTAGATTTTACAGTCTGTCAAAGTTGCAAAAAGTCAATTTTCAACTGTCAATATTTCCAAAACAGTTGAACTTAGGTATAGGGTATATCACATGAAATCTGCTCAGCATTTTACGTAGAATCCAAATATGCAATTTAATACGGGGTGTTCCATTTAAAATAGTGATGTTGCCACTAGTTTAGAATAGAAGCGGCAACACCGCATGGTCTCCATAAACGTCTAATACGCCATCCACCGTGGGACACCCTATATATAATTTCACCTTGTGTCGATTTACATAAAATTTCGATGAAATGTCGAGTAAAATTCCAAGGAATTCTCGTCGAATTACATACATGGAATTCCTTGAAATTTTATTGTGGAATTCCAGTGAAATTACATGAAATCCAATGAATTCCCTTGGAAATAAAAAGAATTTCCGTGGAATTTTCATGGAACCACGACGGAATTCCGAAGAATTGAATTAAATTTTGGTGAAATTCTGAGTAATTTTTGTCGAATTACATAAAATTTTAGTGGAATTCAGGAAATTTCATGAAATCTTTTACTGTAATTCCGAGGAATTTTTGTACAAGAATTCCATTGAATTTTATGGTGGAATTCCATAGAATCATATGATGAAATTATAGTTGGGGAGCTGGCGTCAAAAACATGCAAGAGTTTTCGCAAGGCGGATATTTTCAAAATAGGCCGTACTTTAGTGCTAGAATGCTAGTGTACAGTCAGCACTCACAGTTCCGGGACAGCTGGCTCTGGGACGCGGGCAAAGTTGTAATTTTAAGAAGCATCTAAACTGTTTTCTCAAAGCTCAAAATTTATAGAAATTTTGCACATTATCTGTTTGAAGGTCACAGATAACGTATGTAAATCGTCAGACGTCTAGTTCGTTGCAAAAAGGGGGTCAGACGTCCTCAAAGTTTTTATTTTATGGCATTTTCTTCGGTGTCCTGTCAAAATATATTTTTGCAGGTATTTGACAAATATATTCGAAGAAAATGCCATAAAATAAAAACTTTGAGGACGTCTGACCCCCTTTTTGCAACGAACTAGACGTCTGACGATTTACATACGTTATCTGTGACCTTCAAACAGATAATGTGCAAAATTTCTATAAAATTTGAGCTTTGAGAAAACAGTTTAGATGCTTCTTAAAATTACAACTTTGCCCGCGTGCCAGAGCCAGCTGTCCCGGAATTGTGAGTGCTGACTGTACACTAGCATTCTAGCACTAAAGTACGGCCTATTTTGAAAATATCCGCCTTGCGAAAACTCTTGCATGTTTTTGGCGCCACCTCCTGGACTATTATGTATTATGAAATTTTATAGTGAAATGTCTAGGAATTTTCGTTTTTCCATTTAAATTTGTCATTTGAGTTTAGAATCTTTAAAAACTTTTCAAAAACCCCCAAAATACTCCAAAATCACTTGAGATTGATGGTTGCAAGATGGTTTTGTGCAGAAGATGTGAAAAATGGAATACAACAGAAGTAAGATTTATACAGACAATATCCAGAAAAATACCATTTTTTTGCATTGACTGCCTAAAAGAAAAATCAGGGACACTAGTTAAGCAAGTACAAAAATTACACCTTGATAATAGCCATTTAAGAATTGAGATGGAAAAGATGGAAGAAGTTATAAATCAACAACGAGAAGAAATTAGTGAAATAATTGAGAAAAATGAACTTCTTATCCAGGAGAAAAGTGACATGGAGAAATATATGGAAAGGAGTAGAAGAACCACTATGGATTTTGAGGATGAATTCCTTGCAACAGAAGAGTGTCTCAAAAAAAAAAGATTGACAAGCAGAAAGTCGAATTGCATAATATAAATGAAGAAAACCTAAATTTGGGTAAAGAAATTGACGATCTACTAACCAGTAATCAAGAGATCAAGGAGAAAAACAGAAAGCTAGAGATGGACCTTGAAAACTTAGTGTCGCTTAAAGACGAAATGTTGACCTCAATCAGAACTTTAACTGAGGACAATGAAACTTGTATGAATGACTACAAAAAAGCGCAAAAAGAGATCTTCTTGATGAGGACTAGCAACTATCAAAGAAAGACTGTCAATAATGCTGAAACTGTTAGTAATGCCAGTACTCAGTATGATCCTACAATGATGGGAGTAGAAAAAATCTGTAAGCAAGTCAAATCCAAGTGTGTCGAATCTCTGCCTGTTATATTAGAGAATAATGAAGGTCATTGCTGTAAAAGAAGAGTTCTAGTGTTGGGAGACGAAAGTGGAAGGGGCTGTGCGTCGAAGTTACGCATTTTGCTTAATGACTCTGAAGAAGCGGTTTCGGGAATAATTAAATCGTACGCCCCTCTACATGAAGTTGCAAAAAATATTTTCAGCAGTACTTTTGACTATTCTAAGAATGACGTTGTTATTGTTTGCCTAAATGTAAAGAAATCTATGATAGATTATTCGGTCCTAAAGCAAATTTTTGGTATTGGTGAATATACAAATTTGATTGTCTGTTTTAAATATATTCATAACTTTTTGTTCAAAAATGTTAGTGACGTACTGTCAGAATTTATGCGTAGGAACTATAATGCTTCCATTAGGGTGATAGAGAATTTTAGAATGCGAAACAAATTCCGACATAATATTCCTAGTCTTAGTAAGCTTTTATCTTTGTACATAAAAACTAAACCTTTGCAATCTAATGCTATTGTGCCACTAGCTGACAAGAATGATGTAAGCGAAACATTAAATGTGGATTCTGGGTGTGAAAACATAAACATTATTAGTGACCTAAAAATTTCAGAGTCTAATATATCCACCCTAGCAGGAAACAGTGAGATTTCTTTTTTAGAAAATGTACCCACCACTCTGACTGTATCTCCATAGTGGCACTGAATATTCAATCTGTTAGAAATAAACTAAACGAACTTGATATATTTTTAGACAGTCTACAATACCCAAGCATAATATTGTTATGTGAACATTGGCTGAAGCCTCAAGAACCTTTTAATTTAACAAGGTATACTGTTTTAAGTAAATATTGCCGAATAACTTCGATACATGGAGGAACAGCTATTCTACTAAACAATGATTTTATGGAATCTTTTCGTTTTTCTGACATTAATAAATTTGACCATTTGCTTGAAGAAAGAGTCTTTGAGGTTTCAGTCGTATTTTGTAGGCAAGTTAATTTGTATGTTCTATGTTTGTATAGATCTCCCATAGGGAATGTAGAGGATTTTTTATTCAAGCTTGAGACCATTCTAAGCCAATTGAGCTGTAATTCATTAATAGTGCTGGGTGGTGATTTCAATATAAATTTCTTGGCTGCTGATAGGAACACCCAAAGGTTGGTTAATTTATTGGGTTCATTTAATTTGCATGTCATGGTGGATACTCCCACCAGAATAACCCCTAACTCTTCCACTACTATTGATAACATATGCACAAATTTTGAAAGAAATGATAGTAGTGTAAGTGTTGTAAATGCAGGTCTTTCAGATCATGAGGCCATTTTTTGTAGATTTAAGATCAGAACCAGAAGACGTAATGAATTGAAACGAAAGGGACGGATATTCAGTGCAAGAAATTATGATAAGCTCTCTGAATTGTGTGCCTGTGATAACTGGCAAGCAGTTCTTAGTTCCAATAAACCTCTGGAAACTTTTCATGAAAAGTTATCCTCTATATTCAATAAAGCATTTCCAATAAAAAACTTGAAAATAAATAAAAAAAAGCCATGGTTAACAGAGGGCATTAGGATTTCTTCAAAAAATATGCGTTCACTGCATTACATCCGTAAGTTTTATATCAGTAATATTTGTTTCATGACATATTATAAAAATTATAGGGCTATATATCGTAGGTTGGTGAACGCAGCTAAAGATAAGTACTATAGAAAACGAATAATAGAATCCAGTAACAGACAAAAAGAATCCTGGACAATTGTTAATGAGCTAATTGGCAAAAAACGGGAAAATTCAGATGTTGATACCACACTTTCACCTCAGGATTTTAATAATTTTTACTGTTCTGTTGCTAAAAATCTCTCTAGCCAAATTGGCATTGCACACGATTTTAAACATTTTTTCAAATATTCATCAACAGGCGAATCATTTTTTTTTGTGCCTACAGATGTAAACGAAGTTAAGTTTACATTTAATGAAATTAAAAATAAGAATGCTTCGGGGTGGGATGATATATCTGTCAAATTATTCAGGAAGTTACCTGACAATGTTTTAAACATATTAGTTTATGCTATCAATAATTCTTTCCAAAATGGGTTTTTTCCGAACAGTCTAAAAAGGGCCAATATAATCCCAATATTTAAAGCGGGCGATAAGCAAAATCCCTCAAACTATAGACCTATAGCCCTGTTGCCGACTCTATCAAAAATTGTAGAGAAACTAGTAAAAAAAAAGAATCGTTTCATTTTTGAATGAAAAAAAGATTCTTAGTCCCGAACAATATGGATTTCGAGCTTCCAGGGGGACTTCCGATGCAATATTTGCATTCCTCGAGGAACTTTTCTTGAGACTGAATGACAATGACGTTGCCGCAGCGGTGTTCTGTGATCTCACGAAAGCTTTTGATTGTGTCAGTCACAGAATATTGCTGTGGAAACTGCAGTCCTATGGATTTAGGGGATCCTCTTATAAATGGTTTGAGAGTTATTTGCAGGATAGGACTCAAAGTGTTCGCTTTGGACGTGATGTTTCTGGACAGAGAACATTACAGTATGGGGTGCCTCAAGGGTCTGTTCTTGGTCCAATATTGTTTTTAATTTATGTTAATGATATAACTGATCTTGGCATCTCAGGGAAATTTACATTGTTTGCGGATGATGCAACTATATTATGGCACGACACTAGTATGGGTTTCTTGAGTGCAGTGGCGGCTCGTGGTATAACATATTGGGGGTGCACATAATTTGTAATTCATAATAAATGCCGGTTGCGTTTGTTTTGCTGGCGCATTTGGCCACTAATTTTTTAAATTAATACTTTACAGGTAGATTGTTAAAATTTGAAGAATGATAAAATTAAATTTAAAGTTGTTTGATATTAATTTGGGAGTGCACGTGCACATGTGCTCTTATGGAGGAACCGCCACTGCTTGAGTGACAAAATAAATAGGGACATAGTTGCTCTCAAGCAGTGGTTTGACGCTAATCAGTTAACACTGAATATATCGAAAACTAATGTCATGCATTTTAGGTGCACACTTGAACCTATCAAACTTGATGACATTTCCTTGTCGAGCACCAATGAGAATAAATTTCTAGGGCTTCTCATTGATAGCAGACTTAAATTCCAATCACACATAGAAAATCTTAGGAAAAAACTTGCTTCCAACTGCTTTGCAATGAGAGTTCTCTCTGGAGAGCTTGATTCACAGACCGTGAGAAATGTATATTTCTCACTCATAGAAAGTCACTTAAGATATGGACTGTGTTTTTGGGGTACATGTTCTGCGCAGTTGTTTGATAGTGTGTTTGTGCTGCAAAAAAGAGCCATAAGGTATTTGAGTGGAGCTAAAATGAGAGATTCATGTAAACCTTTGTTCATAAGACATAAAATTTTAACACTTCCCAGTCTATTTATTTTAGAGACAGTTTGCCTAGTTCATAAAAAATATAGAAATAGCTTGCATGCAACAGGTTTGTATAACACGAGGCAAACTTATAATATAATACTGCCAATACCATCCTCGACACAAATTAAAAATTCTATTATATACAATAGTCGGAAATTATTTAATCACTTACCTGTGGAAATAAGACAAGTGGAAAGCAACAAAATATTTAAAGGGATGGTGAAAAGGTTACTAATTGAGAGGGCTTATTATAACTGTACTGAGTTTTGGAATGATAGATTTTGACTGTATCAATTGATTGGCTCTGCCAATATCATTATTATTATTATTTTTATTTTTATTTTCATGATTTGACTTTTGTAATTTGTGCTTATTGTTTTATTCCTGTAGCGCACGTATAATGTATATATATATATATATTTTTACCGTCATTTTAATTTAATTTGTGTGACATAATTATGTGAGTGATAGGTAGTTGACGTCCGTGACTACTTCTAAGTTTTATTTTTATTTTTTGTTTGTTTTTGCCTCAGTTTTTACAATTCTTTGTGTTGGTTTCGATTGTTGTGGATCATTTTTTGAAATTTTTATCCTTTTTATGATAGATAGATAATAGATAATTTTAATTGTTTTATTAGGTTTAAGGCCTGCTTTGTCTATGACATTATTTGTTTTTTTGACAATAAAGCTTATTTGATTTGATTTGATTTGATTTTGAAAATCTGAAATCTTCTGAACTTCTGTAAAATTGTGTAAAGATTTTCAAAATTCCCAAAATCCTAAAAATTCAATTAAGATTTAAAATATGTGTTCATTATTTTATAGTTAACTAAACCTCGGAGCGGTCGATTGGTCAAAAACTGTAAACAAGTTGGTCAAAATCCCAGAAAAACTCGTAAGATCTACTTAAAATCACTGAAAATCTCTAAAAATCCAACTTAAGTTATTAATATTCCTAAAAAAAAAAAAGTTCCTTTAAAAGTTTCAAAAAATTTATTAGAATCCCCAAAAATCCGTTGAAATTGCTGAAAATCCTTTAGGATCTCTAAAAACCCTTCTAACTTCCCTTAAATGCTCCAAAATTACCTAAAATCATGTGAAGATTTTCAAAATTCTCGAAGTCCTACAAAATCAATGAAGATTTAAAATCTGTGTACATATTTTAAGGAGTTAACCACTTAATACAAATAATTCAGATTCGTTTTTTTGTAAAACTAATATATTTAATTTAAACAGTAAATCTTGAAAACAAACAAAAAAAAATATATAATTACATAATGAAGCAAGTATAACTGTTTAAACTAGACAAAAAACGCATTCATAAATCATTCAATTTGTTAATATAATATATATAATATTAAAGGTACAACTTGTTTAACAAATTATATTTTCTTTCCGGGTTTTTTTTTTTTTAATTTTTCTAATAATAAGTAGCAAATTCCTTATTTTAATTATTTTTTTTTTACGAATTATCACCATAATCTCGATCACCCACATTGATTCTGTCAGGAGCTGAAGTCACATTGAAGCCTAAGATACGCGAATCCACTTTCAACATTTTGGATTTTTTGTTTTTCTTGTTTTTGCCCTGCATAAAACAAACCAACGATAAAATAAATCAACATCAAACCATGATAAATAAATGAACAAAAAAATGATCACCTATTTACCTTACCTTCACCTCTTGAAATTCAGCTGTGTTATGCATATGGGGGGTAATTGCAGGTGCGGGCGAACACATGTCGTCTTTATGCGCCTGTTTTGGTTTAAAGGAACGTCGTTTTTCTAGAAAGTTATTTGCAAACTGTTGAGTGGTGTTACTTTCCCCTAAATACTCTTTGCAATATTCCCGCACCTCAAAGGCAGACTCAATATCTTTTAAAAAGGATATAAAAGTTGGAACTAGAAAAATACATAAATTAGAATTTGGGGTTTCAATTAAGGAATTCAATTACCATCAACTTCACTTGAAATATTAGTCAAAGCCTTAAAACACCAACTAGTAAAATCATCTTCAACATTATTATTATGATTCTTTTTATTGCTTCCGGCTTCTTCCTTTTTAGGTTTGGCCTTTGGTTGTTGCTGAGGTTGCGGTTTAGGAGGTTGAGGTTGGGCCTGTTTCGAAGCGCTATAATTAATAGTAGACATCGAACTGCTCTTAGATACGACGGACGGTTTTATTGCGGTTTTTGGCTCGGCCCCCCAAAATTCGGACCACTGAGGTTGAGAAGGTTGCGAGGCGCTGGCCCAAGTCAAGCTTTGCCCACTCCAAATCGAGTTCGAGGTTTGATGGTGGTGCTGGGCCGTTTCGCGAGCTTCTTTTTCTCTTTTTAAGCGAGCTTCTGCGGTTTCTTTGGCCAGCCTTTCTTGCTCTTCAGCTTGGATTTCGGCCAGGGATTTCACTTTACGAGGTTCTATGGTTTTTTTGGCCCAACCGAAACCGGATTTTTCTAGCATTTGTTGCTGTTGTTGTTGGACCAATAATGCTTTTTCCTGAAAAAAAGAATTTGTTTTCTTAAAATAAATGTTCATTTTCTTTGTGAAAAATAGAAAAAGCAAACACTGGTTTGAATAATTCATAAGTTCATTCTACAAATAATTAATTAACTCACAAGTTGGATTCTTTGAGCTTGTAAAGCAGCAGCTTCTTGCGCCTTCCTTTCTTTTTCCGCCTTTTGTATGTCGGCCAAGCTCATTCCGAAAGTGGAATTCGCTTGAGACCAAGGTGCAGCTTTTGCCATTGACAATTGTTCTTGCCTTCTTTCCTCTGCTTTTTGACGTTCTTCCCTGTCTCTCTGTTCTTTTTCACGTTGTATTCTGTCTTCTTCAAGTATCCTACGTTCTTCGTCTGTACGTTTTTTAGCTTCTTCTTCTAATTTCCTTTGTTCTTTTAACCGTCTCTTTTCTTCCAATTCCCTCATGCGTTTGTCTTCGGCCTCTTTTTTAGCTTTTTCCAATTCCTTTTTTATTTTTTCTTCTTCCTTTCTTTTCCTTTCGACTTCAGCTTTCTTGTCCAATTCCAATTTTCTTTGCTCTTGCTTTCGCCTTTCCTCGATATCCTAAATAACAAAAAACAATTAAACCAATCAAAAAACTACAGAATAAAGTTATTTAAATTTAGTCTCAAACTTCTGCTTGTAAAACCAACTATTAAGCAATTTGGGATAAATTTCCGAGTGCCTTTTTTCATAGATTTTGGCTTCAAATCTCAGAATAATTTAGTGTATGAAGTTTCTAGGGTCCCCAATGATCATTTAGATACAAAATCTCAACACAAAAAAATTTGAAATTTCGTCATTTTAGTATTTATTTTTATTTATTTATTTATTTAATATAATACACAACAGAGGAAGCTCCAAATGGTATAACTTATATACTAGGTCTATAATTATAATAATAAACACATGATAAATTAATAAGTGAAGGGTTAAGTAAATAAATGTCCACGCCCATACATCGGAGTTGCAACCAATTAGAGAGGTAAATTTTCCAAGTGAATTGTCTGAAATCATTGAGCCAATATCGATCTCAACTTATTTTTGAAGGTGATTGGAGTGCAGTTGAAATCGACATTCATCGGAATATATGTATTGAAAAGATGCATAATACGGTTCATAGCACTGTTTTTGCCAACGTCGGTTCGGCTTCTATTAGTTAAAAATATGTCATTTAAACGTGTATTGACAGATGGTATTCGAATGTTCATAAGTGCTAAGAGATCAGAGCAATTTATGTTATAGGTAATTATATTGGAACCGAATGTTAGTGTAAGGAAAACCCTACGCATCTCCAGGCTTTGTATATTCAGCATTTGTAGACGATCCTGGTGGGAAAATAGGTTTTTGTCGATTCCGAGTTTATATAATAGGAAATTAACAAACTTCATTTGAACTCGTTCGATGCGTTTAATATGGATTTGGTAATATGGTGACCAGATCACGCAGCAATACTCAAGGTGACTTCGCACCAACGAAAAATAGAGAGATTTTAGTACCTCGACATTAGAAAACTCCCAGCATCTTCGCATTATAAACCCTGCCATTTTGAAAGCTTTGGACAGGATATGATTTATGTGGTTGTTGAATCTTAATTGGGAATCAAAAATTACTCCCAGATCATTTATAAGGTCTACTCTGGGGAGCGGAGAACTTGAAATATAGTAGGTGTGCAATGTTGGGCGCTTTTTTCGAGAAAAAGACATTGATTTACATTTGGAGATGTTTAATTCTGTTCCATTAGATGTGCACCATTCTGATATTTTATCGATCTCGAGCTGTAGAATTGAACAATCGAGACTGCTAGTGATTTTCCTAAAGATTTTTAGATCGTCGGCGTAAAGGAGGAAATGGCAGTTGGTAAGTACGTTGGCTAGGTCATTGATGAACACAAGGAACAATATAGGACCTAGATGAGAGCCCTGGGGTACTCCGGATGTCACCATTATTTTTCTTGATATGGAACCACCAAACTTGACGAATTGTGTTCGGTTACAAAGGTAACTTGCTATCCATGTTAGAAGAGGATCTGTGACGCCAAATGATTCAAGTTTGCTGATCAAAATAAGATGGTCAACCCTGTCGAAAGCCTTTCTAAAGTCGAAATAAACTGAGTCGACCTGGTCCCCTGAGTCAATAGCTGCAGACACGTATTGAGAGTAAAGGCATAAATTTGTCTGGCATGAGCGACCGGACAGGAAGCCGTGCTGATTTTCAGAGAGGCAGTTGTATAGAGTTGACAAAAGCTCATCATTTACTATGGACTCGAAAACCTTGGCCATGCAATCCAGGCCCGAAATTGGGCGGTAGTTAGCGACGTTTCCCCTCTCACCACCTTTGAAAATAGCAGTTACGATGGCAGTCTTCCAGAGGTCCGGAAATTTTCCAGAGCTGAGAGAGAGTTGAAATAGGGTGTTAAGTGGAGATGTCAGGGTCGGACAACAATTTTTTACGAAGATTGGGGGTATGTCATCTGGTCCTGCTCCTTTTTTTTCATCCAATCCAATAAGTTTTTGGAGCACAATGTCGCAGTTAACTCTGATAGTTGAAAGGACAACATTATTAATATAAAAACGTAATGGGTTAATAGTGATTGCGGGATCAGAAACTGTGAATGTAGACTGAAAAAAATCTGCGAAAAAATCCGCGATGACTTTGGGATCACTAGAGTCAGCGTTATTGAAAGTCATTTTCGCAGGATAGCTGACAGAATTACGTTGAGACTTTATGTAAGACCAGAACGCTTTAATGTTATTCAAAATATTATTTTGAGCAGTTTGGACGAAGGAATCGTAGTCCCTCTTTATCGAGGTTTTTGATTCTGATCTCAGTTTTTTGTACTGAAGCTCGTCTAAGTTTAATTTCGTTCGTTTATGTTTTTTAAAAGCTTTGTTTTTCTTGTTAATTAGAGCTATTGTTTTTTTAGAGAAATAGTTAGGGTATTTTAGCGTAGAAATTCTTGTCTTTGGAACGTACAGGTCGATTGCGATGTAAAGTACAGTATAAAACATTTCCAGGGCATTATCAATGTCTCCGCACTGCAAAAAACTCCAATCGATAATTTCGAAGTAATCGTTTAACTGATCGTAGTTTGCTTTATGAAAGTTGTACTTAAAAAGTTGCAAATCCGATGCATTATCCTTTGTAGCATCAATACAGAACCCAATTACTAAAGCAGGATGATGGGTATCAATACAGGTTAAAGGTGCCATATTATTCGATACAGATACATTTGAGAAGTTTGAGAAAACTAGGTCCAGTTTTGCATTATTAAAGTTGGAGACATTATTATACTGGACAAGATCGTAAAAACACGCACAGTCGTAAAGTGTTTGTTCCCGTTGATCACTGGAAGTGAAGATTTTATTGAGTTCATCGTCACCACCAGCTGAACATAGGTTAATGTCATTGTTATTAACTATGTCGGATGCACAAGTTTCAACTTTGGCAAATGAGTTTGCATAGTTCGGAAGGTTGAAATCTCCCAGTAATAAAACATTGGACCTTGGAAAACGGTCTAGCATATAACTTACTGAAGTAACGAGGTTATCATAGACTACTGCCTTAGAGGATGGAGGTATGTAGATAGCCGCCAAAAGGTTGTTGATGTTCCCGCACCGTAAGCTGACCCAGACTTGTTCTACTTCATTGTCTGGCACTGTGCAGGTTGATGATTCAAAGGAACGTTCTACTGCGATAATAACTCCACCACCTCTTGACTTTTTTGTTTGTTCTGGGTTTCTATCTCTTCTATACACAACATAGTTTGGAGGAAATAATTCTTCACTAGTGATTCCTTCATTCAGCCACGTCTCCGTCAGTACAATAACGTCATGATTACAATTTATCACCTCCTGCTGGAATGCCACTGTCTTGGATCTCAGTCCACGGACGTTCTGATATGAGACTGTGATCTGTTTATTATGTGAGACTGCGCCGATACAATTATTTGTTTGAGGGGACGTGACGGTAGCATTTGGTTCTGGGTCACCTAACGTAGGGTAAGCAAGTGATTGCCTGGAGGAAAATTTTGAGGGGCCAGCAATTCGTTGCAGATAAACTTGATTATTCTCCGTTTGATTTCATAGTGTAGGGAGCCGTTGTAACTACGTTCGTAGGTGGACATGAAGCTGTCACAGGATATTTGAGAACAATCTATACATCTCTGCTGCAGTTGTTTTTTTATGCCCAAGTTAAAATCATAAATAAAGTTGTTGAGAACTTTCCTGTTATCACAGTATGGAGGAGTGACTATTATCAGATTAGTTCTTTTGGATATATCAGCGATTTTGTCCCAGCAGGAGTCATTGATGGTGACATTCCCCTGCAAAGCATTAGCCAACCCAGCAAAGAGGATGACAAAATCCTTTTTCGAGAAGTTCTTGCATAATGGACTGAATTGTTCGACGAGTGTTTGCACTGGTACGTTTGAGTCAGAGTACTGAAAATTCATGTCGTATCTGCTCTGAGTAAAAGATTTGGCCATCAGCCCAGATCCACTCACACAAGACTTATTACCAAACAGTAGAATCTGATGTTTGGGTATTTTGGATTCAGTAGGTTTTGAGTTGTTCAGGATGGAAGTTGGTGATGGGTCTGGAATAAATCTATCGATGCCGATACACAACTCGTTCTTTAGCTTCCTGATTTCCTCCATGTAGAGATTATTCTGCACTGTCAGGGTCTCTATTGAAGTCAGGAGGTTTTTATTTAAGATAGTGAGGTCGTTTATCTCATTTGTGGCTTTAGTGAGTTCGTTTTGACATGTTATCAATTCCTCTCCAGTGACATATTCCTGTATACTTGTTCCGGGTGATTGTTCCGAGCAGTTTATTTGGTTGCTGATGGTTTCTCTATTGTTTGAAACCTGAAGAAGAATAAGGTCTTTGGCTTTTATCTCATTTTGTAACTCTAAAAGTTGATTTTTCAAGTCATTGCCTTCTGAAGTCAGTTCGACGTTCAACCTTTTTATCTCGTTGTCCTTCTCTAAATTTGCCTTTGCCAGTTGACCCATAGCGTTTTCTAGCTCCGCGACCTTTTCTTCACATTTCCGTTCAAAATCTTCAAAATATCGATCTTTGTTCTTAATGTCTACTTTGAGTTTATTGTACTGTACAATCAATTCTCCCAGTTTAGGCAGGTCTGTTAGATTTTGTCTGCAATCTATGCAGTAAAACAGTAAGATTCGTTTTTGCGTGAGGGCCACTGAGTGAGCTTCAGTAGTACTAAGGTCTGAGCATTTTCTGCACCATACAACTTTGCAGGAGTCACAAGGTGCACCGAAAGTTTCATCGTCTTTGGGTCTTGGCTTGAAGATGCAGGGCTGTTTGCAATTCTTACATTCCAATAGAGGCATGGCAAGAACAAACTCTATGTTGTCAGCTCTCCTACTCAATTCAGAGAGCAAAAGTTTGTGTGATCATTTGCTAAATTAGAATTAAATTTAAATTCAATTTCAAATTTAGAATTTTGAGTCCGTTCCTATTTAGACATCGATGGAACAGTGTTTATGTTTATTTACTGCAGCTCGAAATGTTTATAATTGGAATATGCAAATTTTATTAGCGATAAGGCTGGGGTATATTACCTTTTTTTTTTATATCCTTTTTCTTTTGTAGGCTGTAGAAATCCGTCTATTTGTTTAGATATGCCTTGCAAATATTGTGTTTTTCTCGAGAAAAACTATGTTTCATTGCAGTTTTCTTACACTGTGAGAGAGATCACGTTTTAACTCACAACTCAATACCAAACACAATAATAAACAACAATTTAAAACTTGAGAAAAACGAACAAATTACGGAGTGCAATGAAACGCGTCCGTGTCACTTGTAGAAATTCGACTGTCGTGTATAAGGTAAGAATAGCTACCTTATAATTTGGATTTTTAAAAATTTTGAAGACCCATAACTTTTTTTCTATAATAGATAAAAACCTGAAATTTTCAGCGATTCTTGTCATAGTGGAGGACTACAATCCCTGAAAATTTTAGCTTGCCAGAAAAAAAATCCCGTTAATAACCAAATAATTTCAATTCCAAAATACATACCTTCTTTTGCTGTTCCTCCTCAATTTTCTTTTTCTTTTTCAATTCTTTCCCATCCTCTTTCTGTTTGTTATCTTTTACTTTTTCAATCTTTTTAAGTTTCTCCTCTTCGTTCACTACAAGAGAATCCACTTGAGGTTGAACCAACTCTATTGGTGGTTGTGATGGCTGCAAAAAAAAAAACCCAATTCACAACTAAAATAAATAAATAAAACCATCTTACAGCTGCAGGTTGATTCTGTTGAATATCCCACATAGATATAGGTACTTCAGACGGTTGCTGTTGTTGTTGTACTTGGGTGGGCCACTGTTGCTGCTGAGTGGAACTAGAATTTTGCGCACCAAATTGATTTTGTTGCCACATTGATTCAACTTGTTGCTGTTTCTGTTGCTGAAGCTGCTTCAATAAACTACTAATCGGATCGTTATCGTTATGCTCGACTGGAGAAGGCCTAGGTACGTTCAAACCTGGCATGGGAATACCGGCAGCTCCTGGAAGACTCGACATACCTGTGGCTAAATTTTCGTTCGGTAAAGGCAAACCGGTTGAAATTTGACCAGGCATGGGTATACGATTTTGTAAGGAGAGGAAATTATTCATGTGCATGTGCATGTGAGGATCCATATTGGGTGGTTGTTGTTTGTCTATTAAACCTGGATTTGACAATTTATTGGCCTACAAAAATCAAGTGTAAAGTATGTTTTCTAGTTATAAATCTAGAAACTCACTTGTTGCATTTGACTGATCATTTGCATGAGAGGATTTGGGTGGGGCGCTGGCGGCATATACTGCATATCTTGCTAAAATAATATCAACACAAATTATTCTCAATACTGATATTATAAATATATTTACCTGTTGTTGCATAATCAGTCTTTGAGCAGCAAGTTCCTGCTGTTGCACCGCAATAGCGCTCCACGGATCGGCCATAACTCGAGCCTGAGCTTGTTTGTAGGCCGCCAATTGGGACAGCAATTGGAACTGTAGATCGCCCTCTGGCATTTTTGATATGTCGTTTTTAAGAACTGGGAATTTGACACTAAAATTTCGGGTATATTATTGTGTATGAATATTTTAAATGGTTGTTACCTTGTCTGGAACGGATTGGTGTTGCCACAAATAGCCGTTAGTTCGCCAAGTAAAAAAAATCTTTCGTCGCATTGTCTTCTGACTTTCAAATCTTTGCCAAAGTAGCCTGCTTTCGACCATTCGCACATTTCCATGTTTGTGAAAGGTCCTTGCATTTGCCCCTGAAAAAAATGTATGGTTTATAGAAATTTATTTATAGAAATTTAATATTTTAATTACTTGTGGATCCTGGTAGAACCACTTATCTTGACCTGGTACCGGCAAATTTGGCGGTGGTACCAAGCCAGGCATCTCAAAACTGTTTGGCTGTTGACCATTCGGTTTACGAGGCTCTTCATCCACCACCAATTTTGATACAAAATCTTCTTGGAGTTTTTCAAAATCGTTTTCTTCAACCCTAAAAAAAATATGTGAATATTGTTGTGTGTGACCAAATCAAATAATAATTCAAATTTTGTTTATAAGAGGTTAATGAGCTTGAAAACTATCAATTCTGAGCTCTGATTGGTATTATTTCCCATTTTGAGAAAAATGCAAAACATATAAAAACAAAAATATTGGTCAAAGAATGTTTATGCTTAATTTCAGCTAATTCTGATACAAGTTTTTGTTTTTCTTCAACCAATCCTAACACAGAACTGACATATTTCAAGAGATTTGATTGAAAATTGGTGTATTTTGAATAGAAATTCATTAAGTATATGTAACAAAATCAAAATGTTAAAGTTTTAATAAAAACACATTCTTTACTTGGGTTCTAATATTAGCTCGTGTAATTCCTCATTCCTCATAGGTCCCTCAGACTTGGCTCTATCCCTATTATTAATAATAACTTCTTTGGATAATTTATCAATTACTTCCGGAGCAGACAGTTTCCTTTCAATATCCGGATTCGCAGTTTCTAAACTATTCGGCCTATCATTACTTAAATCCTGATCACTATCCTTCACCAAAGACAAAGTGGACTTGGAGGTAAGTAAAGGTGGATGTGATTTATGGCTTATATGTTGCTGAGAAGTGGATTTGTGTAGGCCTGCGCCCTTTTTGCCTTCTTGTTCATCGTCAGAACCGTGGAAGGCACCCCGGTCGTCAAACGAGCCGCCACTTTCCAAAGGATTCTCGTTGGCCCACTCAGGCAAATGATCCTCATTGTCCCAGGATCTTCTTGAAAGTGGTCCTCTGTTAGTTTCTTGCCACCCACCTGGGCGACCGCCCCTTTCTGGTGGACCAGTTCTTTCTTCTTCTCCTTCACCTCCTCTCCAACTTGTTTGACGACCTAAATTTTGTTCATAGAATTATGTATTTTTTTAAAAATTATTGTTGGTTTTTACCCCATTTTTCATGCATACCCCTGCCAGCTGATGACATCCTCCATCCGTCATCCTCGTCATTATTTCTGGACCTTCTCCAATTGTCCATGGTGGTTGTCCTAGGACTGTACTCCTTCCTGGGACTCCAGTCGGAGGGTTCTCCATTGCCCCAACCTCCTTCGTAGTTGGTTGGTCTTCCGTAGGATTGGTACCCACCTCTGGCACCACGATTTATACGGCCGCCTCTTTCCAAAGCGCCTCTACCTCTCGGAGGTCCGCCCAAGTTGATTGGACGGCCTTGCCAACCACTTCTCTAAAATGTTTTTGATATACTTAAAGGAATTCTCTTGGAAATTATTATACATATTTAATTCATAGTTGGCAAACGTTTTTCTTTACTTTTTGGTTTTTGGATGGATTTTGATGGATATTATCATATAAATTAAGACAAAAAACCATGAAACCGTTTTTCAAACATACTCCTTTTACAGAGAGAAAATTAAAATAACAGTATAAAGTTTTGTTAAAAATAATGAATAATATTTTGCTAAAACTGTTTTTGATAGGTACCACAATTAATTGGTGTTGTTGCATTATTGCAATTATTAGTCTTCAAATATGCTCCATAATTATTTGAACATTTTTGAAAAAGAATTAAGTAAATCGGACCAATGTAACGCGAAATAAAAGGAAAAAATAGTAGGTATAATAGGACTAACCACGCAGCGCTTTTATAAACGTTTTTCCAAAATTTTTATCAACTACTCAATGGTCCAGTGCCATCGATTTTAAATCGATCGATGACTAGACGGTGTCGACGACGCCCAATGACGAGACGACGACGCCCCGAATGGAAAATAACTGCGGTTTGAAGATGACACCATGAGATAGAGAGCTGCGGTCAAATTCCGGAAAAACCGCCAAAAATTTTGGGTTGGCCCTGGTCAAATCCCCGAAATTTCAGATCAAAGGCGCCGCCGATCTAGAGATTTCCCACGGTATCCAAAAAGTTCCCAGGCTCAGGTGCCCCCGTTACTACTTTTAGAAGTTATCATAAATTTCCTAAATATTCTTAAGCAATTTTGGATACTTCTAGTATTTTAATATGTCCATGGAAATTTTAAGTTAGTTCAGAAGTGTCATGTGATGATTTTCAAAATATTTTGAAAGTGTCCGGTTCTAGATTGTTTCCAAAAATTCCATATAATTTGTAAAGTGTTCTAGAACGTTCCAAAATACTCTAACTTGTATCTAAACCTTAAACTTTAAAGGATCTCTTAAATGTTCCTAGGAGCTCGGAAGTGTTCTGGTCTGTTCTAGAATGTTTCTGAAATCTCAGTTGGATTCTTAAGTGTTCTGTAGCATTTTAAAAGGTTCCTGCAAGTTCTAGTTTGTCTCAAACAGCTGCAGGGTGGTTGGAACTGGAATTAAAAGTCTTCTGAAGCTTATTTAAGTTCTAAGTTAATTCTAAAGTGCTCTGGAGCATATCAGAATGCTTAAAAATGTTCCAAATTGGCACTAGCGCATCTTGAAGCTTTTCAAAGGGCTTTCTGAAGTTTTCATTTGGTTGCTAAATGCCTTCAAGCGCCTAGAAGAATGTCCCAAATAGTCTTAGGCGCTTTTTGATACTTCTAATTGAAATTCTAAATAAGCTCAGAAGTATTTTTGAATGTTCTAACATGTTTATGGAAAATTTAATTTGGTTCTAGTGTGTCATGTAACGATTTTTAAGATATTCTGAAAGTTTCCAGTTTTGGATTATTTCATAAAGTTTCATAGGATTTATTAAGTGTTCTACAGTGTTCTAAAAGATTGTTAAAATGTTGTCCAAAGTTCAGAAGTGTCTGTTCGATAATGTTTCTGAAATTCCAATTTGATTTTAACTTGTTCTGTAGCGTTTTACAATGTTCCTGTAAGTTCCAATTTGCCTCAAACAATTGCTGGAGGATTGAATTAAAGTCTTCTGAACGAGTGGTGTTTCACCCAAAAAATGTACTGTATTTGACTGCATTGATTGAATCAAAGAAACGTTTTATACACTACTGCATGTGACAGCATGGAATTTATAACGATTGCAAGCGACTGTATTATGACTGAATTAATCCATTTATTCCATTGACTGCATGAGAATGTATGGACTCCAAAAGAATGTATAGACTGCATATACATGAATGTATGATATTTTTACATTGTACAGGGTGTCCCAAATTCGAGGGTGACCATTGAGATATCGGAAACTATAGGAGATATGAGGTCGGTTAAATTATGGCAAAGTTGCGCAATTTTATGCGAAGATATTCAGAAAAAACGGAAATTTTGCAAAATCATTTTTATTTTCTCCTGAATTTGAAAAGCAAAATAAATGTCACTTTATCATTGTCACTTTTTTCCTTTTACAAGATGTTACTACCAAATTTCAGATTCAACGTTTCGCCTTTGGGTGGCCATTATCAACTTCGTTTTTCTTAACACGGACCTGGATTTTTAATTTCATATTTTAAGAGTTTCTGATGTCCCAAAACCTATGACGTATTGTATTTATTCGAAAAAATATTTGTATTACTTGCAATTTCCTACTAAAATTCTCTTCTCTGGATCTCTCTAACACATTAAGTTCTTATGGAAAGTGCCAATATTATAAATTTTTCGAATAAGTGCAATATACCCCATTGATTTTGGGATATCAGAATCTCTTAAAATCTGAAACAGAAAATAAGGGTCCGTATTTAAAAAAACTGAAGTTGATGGTGGTGGCCCAAAGACAAAACGTCGAATCTGAAATTTGGTAGCAACATCTTGTAAAGGGGAAAAAGTGACAACGATGAAGTGATATTTATGTTAAAATTGCTCTTCAAATAGACTCAGGAAAAAATAAAAATTATTTTGGAAAATTTCGTTTTTTTCCGAATATCTATGGAAGTATTCGGAATTTTTCAAATTTCAAAACGGCATTTTATTGGTCATAAAATTGCGCAACTTTGCCATCATTTAACCGACCTTGTACGTCTTATAGTTTCCGATATCTTAATGGTCATCCTCGAATTTGGGACATCCTTACACCTACTGCATGTGTGAAAAATGCTTTCTAAAGTTTTTCAATTGGTTGCTGAATGTTCTTCAAACGCTGGAATGTTCTAGAAGTAATCAGAATATTCATAAGCGCTTTTTGATATCTAACTGAAATTTTAATTAAGTGTTTCAGACAGGGTTGGAAAAAAACCCGGGTTTTTTTGAAAAAGTCCAACCCATCAGGTTTTTTTTTGGGTTTTTATGGGGTTTTTTGGGTTTTTTTGGGTTTTTTCGGGCTTCCTGGGGGGTTTCGTTTTTTTTCTTCAAAATTTGATTTATAATTTCTGCTCTAGCAAAAGTATTACAAAAATTATGACTTTTGTTGCAAAAATAAAATATACTTACAAAATAGAGCAAGCCACTTGATATAGATAATTACACTTGGCATTAGTGCACTGAACCGCGCCTCTGGCTGGCCAACCCAGAGACTCCGTGTCATGTAGAATTCTACATATCGACAGGATTCTATAGGCTCGGCACATTCGATATGTCGAATTCTACATGGCACGGGAGTCTCTGCCCAGGCCTCCACGCCAACAGCGAACAGCTAGGGATTGGGGAATCATCGGGGAATCCCCGATATTTTCTGTGAAAATGCTGCTCATTCAACTGAAAATTTGCTATTTTTAAAAAAAACCCAATAATGGTGGGTTTTATCAATTGAAAAAACCCAAAAAACCCCACTGGGTTTTATAACCTGAGGAAATTTTAAGCCAACCCTGGTTTCAGAGTGTTCTAATATGTTCATGGAAGTTTTAAGTTAGTTCTAAAGTGTCATGTAACTGGTGCTAGATTGTTTCCAAATGTTCCATATGATTTGTGAAGTATTCTAGAGTGTTTTAAAAGCTTTCTAAAATATTACCAAAAGTTCAAAACTGTGCTGGTCTATTCTAGAATGTTTTTGAAATTTTACTAAATTGGTTCTCAAGTGTTCTGCAAAGGGTAAACCCGAGGGTAAACCGCTAGGAATTATAGTGTACAAAAACTGTGAATTACTACCAATAATGTAAGAATTGTTTGAATTATTGAGGAGTTGTGGGAATTATTGAGGAATTATATTGGAGTTGTTTTAACGTGAGTATTGAACGATTATTTAGAAATAATAAGTCTTTATATTTCAAAAGGCATTAGATGTCAAAGGCAAAATATGTTTAAATTGAAGTTTTTCATTGGGAAGTTAATGTTTAAAGCATCAGCTTCAAAAAGTACTAGTTTCTCATTAAAAATCATATTAGAAAACTAGAATATGCTGGAAAAATCATTAATTAGTTTTTAAATTTTAAGGTAAGTGCCTTTACCTACTGAATAAAACAAAGTTGGGACAACAAAACCAAAACTCTCCAAGTATTTTTGCCTGTTCAGTGTACCCTTGTAATTCTAAATGCCAATTATTTTTAAAATTTAATTTCAATATGGAATTCAACGAAGGCAGAATACCCGATTGATAAGAATACAGGATAGTCGAGTCTCTGCTTGTCATTTGTATATTGTAGGTAATTACCTACTTTTATTTGTGTTTTTAGCCTAACACTTAAAAATTCAGATTTTATAACATGTAATATTGTTTAGCTAAGCTCTATGCATTCCAATTCATGCCTATTTACTACGACTTCTTAATTGGTCAATCAAAACCATTACTTATGAGTATAATTTTGGCTATTTTCAAAGAAATATTGATTGGCTCGTTGATTGGTATCACTGGGATTTACTAAGGAATTGTTGGAATTGAAAGGAATTTCTGGGAATTGATTGGAATTACTGGGAATTATTAGGTATTGCTAAGGAATCATTAGGCATTGTGGTGTACAAAACCTGAATTAGCAATTTACTCCTGTTGGATTTTACAATGTTCTCAAAGATTCTAATTTGTCTTAAATAAGAGCAGGAGGATTGAAAATTGAATTGAAAGTCTTCAGGAGCTTATCAAAGTTCTTAATTGCTCTAGAGCATCTTAAAATGCTTAAAAATGAAATTTTCTTAAGCTCCCTTTGATTCTTTTGTAGTTATCTGTTTGAAAATATTAGGGGATGATACATAAAAACAGGTAGGTATATACCGGGGGGCGGTTACTCTAAATCAGATTAAATGAGGTTAAATCCCTTCAAATTACTTTAAATCCCTTCAAATCTCTTTAAATCCCTCTCAAATCTTTTTAAATCAATTAAATCCCTAAAAATCTGAGATCCGGAACACTTTAAATCCCTAAATAAATTTCCTTAAATCACCTTAGTTTTTTCATAAATCATATCAAATCACTTTAAATCAGGTCAGATCAATTTAAATTTTCTTAAATCTCTTACAATCCCTTTAAATCTTTTTAAATCTAGTTAAATCTGTCTAAATCCCTTCAAATCTTTCTAGATCTTGTTAAATCTTTCTATATCTCGTTAAATCTCTTTAAATCCTTTTAAATCTTCATAAATCTTCACAGGGTTGGAAAAAACCCATTTTTTTTTAAAAAAGTCCAACCCGTCGGGTTTTTTTGGGTTTCTATGTGTTTTTTTTTTTAGGTTTTTATGGGTTTTTTGGGGTTTTTTGGATCTTTTGGGGCTTTTCGGATGTTTTTGTTTTTTTCTTCAAATTTGATTTAAAGTTTCTACCTCGGTTTCTGCTCTAGCAAAAGTATTACAAAAATTATGACTTTTGTTACAAAAATAAAATATCCTTACAAAATAAAACAAGCCACTTGATATAGATAATTACACTTGGCATCAGTGCATTGCACCACACCTCTGGCAAGCCAGCCCAGAGACTCCGTGTCATGTAGAATTCTACATATCGACAGGATTCTATAGACTCGGCACATTCGATATGTTGAATTCTAAATTCTACATGGCACTGAGTCCCTGCCTAGACCTCCACGCCAAATGCCAACAGCAAACAGCCGGGGACTGGAGAATCATCGGGGAATCCCTGATATTTCCTGTGAAAATGACTTTCATCAACTGATTTGCTATATTTGAAAAAAACCCAAAAAACCCAATAATGGTGGGTTTTATCAATTGAAAAAACCTGAAAAACCTCACTGGGTTTTATAACCTGGGGAAATTCTATGCCAACCCTGAATCTTCATAAATCATTTCAAATCGATAAAAAAATGGTTAAAATCCCGTGCAAACTTTGGGCGACTCCAACTCGACAAACCTCGAGGTGCAATCGCTTATATTCGTTTGCGGCTTGCACGTGTGTGTTTTTGTTGGCAGCACAGGAAGAATCTTCAAATTTTTTGTGAATTCAAATTCAAGTTTTAATTATTTTTCTACAAGCGTGCGGGAAATGGCTCTTCCCGCACGATTTGCTGTGCGGGAAGACTTTTTTCCCGCACCGGTGCGGGAAGACTTTTTTCCCGCACCGGTGCGGGAAGAGATTTCTTCCCGCACTCAGTGCGGGAAGAGTTTGAAATAATCATTTTGACATGGAATTGTTTGTATTGTTGATACACCTATACCTGTACCTTTACCTTTTCATAAATACCTTTTTATACATTTTTAATTTTACCTTCTGCATAATCGCGTTTTATTTAAATTAAACTCTTCGTAACATCAGCTTTAGTATGCTCGTAGAAAAAATATAGTTCCTAACTCTTGCGGGAAGAAATTTCCGGCACTCGGGCGCTTCGCACCCTCGTGCCGGAAATGTCTCTGCCCGCACTCGTTAGGAAAATAGCTATTAATTGCATTTTGTACTAAAAACTGTTTTTTTTTTAAAGATAAAAGTCAAAATGACATTATGTTGGCAGTACAATGTAAAATTGTCAATGCTTCAAATTTTTTATGTAGAAAAGGCTTGTGTTGCCAACATAGTTACTAAATTTTTGACTTGGGGAATTATCTTTAAAAAAAAACAGACTTTAGGTGTTTGTTTATAACTGGAACACTCAGTAACTTTCTTATACTATTGAAAATAAAGGGCATGTTTAAGCTGGGAAATTTCTTGGTAAATTGCAACCCTAAGTGCTACAACGATATTATTTTGTCGTCATAGGTTTCCAGGGTGCGCCAAAAAGGTATTATTTTCAAATGGAGTGCCCTGTATATTTTTGTTATCCAAATAATATCTGATATGTTTGTGAAGCTAACTTTCTAAGAATTTCAAAAATGCAAAAATATACAGGGCGTTCCATTTGAAAAAATGACTTTTTTGGCGCACCCTGTATACTTATGGCGACAAAAAAATCTCATTGTAGCGATTAAGATTATTGCAGTTTACCAAGAAATTTTCCAATTTAAACATGCCCTCTATTCTCAATAATAAAAAAGTTATTGAGTGTTCCAGTTATAAACAAACACCCTGTACCAAGACTAGCTGACTTTGGTGGCACTTTTAGAACTTATAAGGTGTTCTCATTCGGGCTAAATGGCCGTCGTAAGTTGGAATTTCTTCCTAAGAAAAAGGAAGAAATTCCAACTTACGATAGCTATTAAGCCCGAATGAAAACACCTTATCAATAAACCTGGGCCGCAAAAGCCTCACAAACTTTATCACTTTTAGAATTTTTTTTATTAGTTCAAAATTTAAATTGGACTATTATGAGAGCGAAAGTACCCATAAGCACTAAAATATCTGGTTATTAAATACATTTTCATCTTCTCAGGATTAAATTAATTACCTTGAATCATCCCAGGTCAAATCAGTTCAAATCGAGGTTCAAATCTTAAAAAAATCTTTAATTCATTTAAATCTTCTTAAATCAGGTTAAATCTTCCTAAATCAGGTTAAATCTTCCTAGATCAGCTTACATCTTTTTAAATGATCCAATAAATCTTTAAATTACCTTAAATCACCTTAAACCAGTTAAGGTTTGAATAAAAATCTCTTAAATCCGATTAAATCTGTTAAATCAGTTAAAAATCAAGAGTGATTTTAAATCGGTGTACACATTTTGAGGAAGTTGACCGCCCCCCGGTATATACATATCAAAAACACAAATATCCATCAAAAATCCAATACAGTTGGATTTTTGCTAACCCTTACCTCTTCTTCGCTGGGAGGTACTAAGGACAATGGTGGAAGTGACGCCTCTGAATAAAGACTTTTGAAATTCGTAAGGCAGGCCGGCGGCTTTATGTTTCTTTCGAATAAAGCCAACATCTCTTCTCTGCCGTATCTAAAATTCAAATTTCTGCATTATAGACTAGAAATAATTAGTTTTATGTTGAATACAGTACTCTAGAGGGCGGGTCATAGTAATTTTAATTGCGCTATGATGGTTTTCAAGAGTTTGAAAAAATGATATGATTCAAGTTTTCATGTGTGACATATGGAAGCGCGACTTTGACAAAAACGTCACATTTACCTGTCTTTAGTGAGTTAACAAGAAAAAATTGGTCAGGTGAATATTTTCAAACAATATAGTTATTTATGTATCAAGGGAATTATGCAGGTGTTAATACCCCAGGGCAACGTTTGTGTCCCGAGGGCCTCCGGCCCGAGGGACACCAATTGCCCGTGGGTATTAACTCCAGATAATTCCCGTGGTACATAGATAATTTTATATCCTACTGAACTATTAAAACCATATAATACCTTGGTTACGATAATCATAAACAGGGTCTTAACTCCCAAGGGAGTCAAGGATTTTCATAACTCCCAAGGGAGTTAAGGAAGGGAGTTAAGGATATCATAACTCCCAAGGGAGTTAAGGATTTCCATAACTCCCGCTTTTACCTTGAATAGGTAACACTTTGACAAAAAATAGAAATTTTGATTTATGGCATATTCCTTTATAAAAATAGACAGAATACAGTAAATTCAGTAGGATATAAAATTCTTTTAGGAATTTGTTGGTTCAAAATACTGATACACAATAACAAAAGGTAATGTTGAATTAATGTAATTTAGCTATTTATTATTAAGTAATAATTCCTGCTTACCGATAATCAGCAAGCTGATATCGAGTACCGCTACTGGTTCCTCCTCCAGAAGTCCCTTCTGAAGAAAGGTTACGGATCCAATCGGGACCAAAATTCATTGAGTCAGTCATTCTGAAACCAAAACAAATTAAGTAATTTCCGTATGGCGTAAAACGAGAATAGTAGTATTGGATAAACAGTTAAATCTGGCATGAATGGAACGGTGCTAAAAATGGAGGCAACTATTTTTAGACAATTACAGCAACTTAAAAATCTAAGCGGTAAATAAAAATGCCCCATAAAACTAATTTTTCAGGCAATGAATTGTGTGTGAACACATGAGTTTTGAACAAGGCCCCAGGCTAGGCACTAAGTCTAGGTGGCAATTTGACTCTTCTTATGGTACATTTGAATTGGAAATTACACCTGCCCAGCGACTGGACATTGGTCCTTTTTAGTCCTCAGTAATTTGCTAAATTCGTCCTTATTTAATAGGTAGAAAATTACCTGGGAAAAATTATTCTCTTTATTAATACCACTTCGAAAACGCGATCAACATAAATGGCTGCGCTGCGGCCCAAAAAATTGTAGGTTATCGCGCATGTGTGTTGATGACAATGTCAAAACGACATTTGTGTACAATGAGTGCATTCAGCCGACGTTATTTAATTTCTGATTTACCATTTTTCACCTGCACTGCACTGTCTTCATTTAATTTTGAATTTAAAAATGCCAACAGCTTCGTATGGTTGCCACTGGTGAAAAGTTTGCTGCGCTGTTGCCAGTTATGACTGAATGTAGTGAGGTTATTAAAATTAAATTAAATTAAAATAAAACTAAATTTAAAAAAAAAAATCAAAAACGCGCTACTAACTTTCCGCCATGATGTCGGGGCGAAAAATTGATTTTTCCGCATGGTTGTAGAAAAACTATTGTACCTAACACTTGCGGGTTTTTCCGCACTTGTTAGGTAAAAAGCTATTTCTATATAATTATTTTATTATTTTTGAATTCAAGCGGGTCATGTCATTGGTCTCACTCGACCTCTATACGAAGTGTCTTGTCTAAAATACCGAGAGGCTCAAGACAAGAGCCTGTAATAAAAACAACATTTCTTTAAATTGGAAACATTGTTAATCGATGTCGATGTAGCAACACGACAGTTTACAAGCGACAAACCGTGCGTTCGGTATTTTGATCCAAGTTCTCCGATCATGAATTTACCGTTCGTTTATTTAAAAAGTGTACTCGGTGCAGACTCATTCACGTTCGGTTATTAAAATTTCGATCGCTCTGATACAGCTGCTCTGTGCGCTCGCTGGTCACGTGATTACGGCTCCGCTCTGCACGCTCTGCTCTTTGAGCAAAATACCGAACGCAAGAGCCGCTTTCCAGTATGCACATTGGGGCGCTCTGGCGCGCTCCAGAGCACCTCGGGGGCGCCACGCACTAGATTTGTACCGTTCCAGTATCATGACGTGAGACGCCTGTCTTGGTGTCAAATATGTCAAATTTTAAAAATAATTATCTGTTTGTTTGTGCAGTTTGTTTTTTTATTTATCATAAATGAAAGAGAATCAAAACTATATTTTTTAAAATGTTCAATCTTGCGATATAACAAGAAATAAATAGATAAATAGCCACCCACGGATGTGACAGCTGACAGGTTGACGCGTACGTACAGCTCGGGAGCTCAACGCCCCGAGTAGCTCCGGGCGTCACACTCCCATACTGGAAAGCGGCTAAGGAGAGTAGGTTTTGGAAAATTTCACAAGACACCTGTAATGTAATAACGACATGGCAATAAATATTTCCAAAGCCTACTAATAGCGAATTCTATTGAAAAAGTTAGTGCGCACCGAGTGTGTTCGTGTCTTTTTCTACCAGCTTGTATAGGAAAGAGATAAAAAGACATTTGTTCTGCACTTGTCTCAATTTATGTCTATTTCCGGTTGTTGAATCTTTTCTAAATTTCTCTGAATGAAGAAAACATTTCTTTAAGTTGGTAACCCGGTTAATCAATGTCGATGTAGCAACACGACAGTCTGACAAGGACAAAGTAGGCTTTGGAAAATTTCAAAGTTTGATTTCGGCGTCCAAACAAGATACCTGTAAAACCGACTTGGCAATAGAGGTTTCTAAAGTAGCCTACTAATAGCGAATTCTATTCAGTGATGCCAACTCTAGGGATTTGTGCCTAGTTTTAGGGATAAATATGCAAATATATAATATTATATATTTTTTTAAAAATCGCAAGTGACCTTATTATTGGTTCGTCTGAGTTATTACATACAACATACAACAGTATTATTTTTGTATGTTGTGAAGTGCTCTTTGCCTTTTCGTGTAACGTGATCTGTGTGGGGATTCCCGCAACAATCGCGTCGAATCAGAAGACAGTTATTAACAGTCTGTCGTCACTAGCTTTCTTTTGGTTTCACTCAAAACTAGTTCGACATCATTCTGCACATGCGCATATTATAAAACGTGTTTTCGATTTTTAAGAATCGAACTGTTCTGACAGTGTTTTAATTTTTCTAGAACTATTTAAAAACAATTCTGGGATGGTCTAGAACGGTTCTCTCAGTTCTTGCTCTGAAAGAGTAAGCCCGGTATTCATACCGTGCGTTCGTTATTTTGGTCCGAGTTCTCCGAGCTTGACTTTACCGTTCGTTTATTTAAAAAGTGTACTCGGTGCAGCCTCATTCGCGTTCGTTTATTAAAATTTCCGGTACTTTTATACAGCTTTCAACTGCTCCGTTCGCTCGCTGGTCACGTGATTACGGCTTCGCTCAGCTCGCTCTACACTTTGAGCAAAATACCGAACGCAAGGATAGACGGGTGCTTGGCTCAAGCTCCAATTTTTGACAGTTGTGAGCATCGTTCCGTGCTGTTTGGAAACGCAAATATGGCGTCAAGTCGTACTTGAGCCAAGACGCAACCTTGAGCATCGACTATGAATATGGGCCTTTAAAACTGTTGTATTTTGTGATTTGCGGCGTGTTTTAATTCCGAATCGGCTCAGAACTAATATTAGAACAGTCCTCAATTAGTTTTTGCGCGCAAGCAGTTCTGCGCAATCCCAGAACCGTTCCAAATTTTGATCCAAAACAAAGCTACAGTCGCCACCCCACTAGTGACTTCATAACAATGTTTTATTGCTTTTGAAAATTCTATGTTGTTTTTTAAAATCATGAGGATTATTGCGATTAGTTTTGAATTTATTTTTTTTCTTGTAAATTACAAATACCTATACATCACATATTACAATTATTATTAGGCTGTTATAATAATTCTAAAGTGAATTTAAAAAAAAAAATTCCAGGGAGTTCTAGGGATATTTTTTTTCAAATCTAGATATTTCCACATCCCATCAGTTGGCAACACTGATTCTATTGGAAGGGTTAATGCGCACCCAGTGTAATCGTGTCTTTTTCTACCAGCTTGTATAGGTAAGAGATAAAAAGACATTTGTTCTGCACTTGTCTCAAACAAGACATCTGTAATAGCGACGTGGCAATAGAGATATTAGAGAGTTATTGGACGTGCAATAAGGACAAGCAGTATTTAAATTAGCCTTATTTTGACATCTACGCATTATTTTAAATTTCTGACATTTTGGACGACTTTGACGTTTCGCTTTTCGACGATGACGTAATTTTACTTAGAAAATTTATTTTTTACAATAGTTTTCCATTTTACTGTAGGTAACATAAAAAAATCGGTATCAGCAGAAAATCACAAACAAAAATAAACCCTTTTTGAGGCTGAAATTTATAAACATAGCTATCAGCTGTCAAAATTATGAATAAAAAATAGGTAATACTCTAGCACCTATTACAGTCTTCCAATAACTGTTTTTTTCTTGGAAAAATAGTGCTGATGCACTAATAAAATAACGTAGATCCTTAATACTGCGAGGCAGTATTTAATAGTTCCAATAACTCTCTATTGGAAGGAGTAGTGCGCACCGAGTGTATATTCGTGTCTTTTTTTACCAGCTTCTTAAGAAAGAGATATAAAGATATTTGTACTGCACTTGTCTCAATTTTTGTCTATTACCGGCTCCTGAATCTCCTCTAAATGTCTTCACACAAAGAAAATTCATGAGCCTGTAATAAAAACAACATTTCTTCAAGCTGGCAACGCTTTTAATTGATGTCGATGTAGCAACACGACAGTTTGACAAGCGACAAAGTAGGCTTTAGAAAATTTCAAAGTATGATTTCGGCGTCCAAACAAGATACCTGTAAAACCGACTCGGCTATAGAGGTTTCTAAAGCCTACTAATAGCGAATTCTATTGGAAGGGTTAGTGCTCACCGAGTGTATTATTCGTGTCTTTTTCTACCAGCTTGTATAGGCAAGAGATAAAAAGACATTTGTTCTGCACTTGTCTCAATTTTTGTCTATTACCGGCTCTTGAATCTCCTCTAGATGTCTTCAAACAGAGAAAATTCAAGAGCCTGTGAAAAAAACAACATTTCTTTAATAAAATTGGCAACGCTGTTAATTAATCGTTGATATAGCAACATGACAGTTTGAAGAGCGACAAAGTAGACGTTGGAAAATTTCAAAGTTTTAATTTAACGCTTAAACAAGACGACATGGCAATATATATATTTCCAAAGCCTACTAATTGCGAATTCTATTGAAAAAGTGGGTGCGCACTGAGACTGAGAGTGTTCGTGTCTTTTTCTACCAGCTTTGTATAGGAAAGAGATAAAAAGACTTTTGTTCTGCACTTGTCTCAATTTTTGTCTATTACCGGCTCTTGAATCTCCTCTAATTAAATGTTTTCGGGCCGGTTTCTCAATAGCAAGTTACCCCCGGGTTAGGCATAACTCTCCAGGGTAAACATAGCAACTGAACACGCTTATGTCGCAGAGCGATTGTCAATAGATTTCAATAATTATATCATTAACTCAAATTTTATTCAAGTTTAAAAGTCTAATGGTCGTTTGCACCGACCATTTTAAGGGAGGTTTAACGATAATCAACGCTTAAAGTGACACTCTTAAGCCTAGTACCTACTCATTACTGCGAAATTCGCACTTTTTTGACATTGCTTTGACAATTTGACGTTTTATGCGTGTATCAAGATTGTCGAAGCAATGTCAAAAAAAGCGAATTTCGCATATTAGATCTCTTTACCCTACATCCGAGCCTAAATTTGAGTGTGTAGAAGGATTTTTTTTTAAAAATCAATCTATCTTCTGCTATACGTGCAAAATTTCCAGCCAATCCATGCAATAAAATAAAATATCCCTCAACATCAATCATATTTCTCTTTCTTAGAATCGGATAATTCTATTTACAAGCCTCAGATTTTCTTTGGATTTGTTTTTTTTTTTTTGATAAAAAGACCCTATAAGGATGTATATTATGTGAATAAAAGTAGAAAAATAGTACATTATATACCTATATAGAAAAGTTGGTCATTATATACCGAGCGGTTTTATATATAATGCGTAAGGTATATAATGACTTTCTCTACCGAGGGATATATAGAATTTTTTTTACTACTGCTAGTAGAAAATAAAATATAGGTTTGTTTGAAACCCTCAAATTATTTTCTCTTCTTGGAAGTTCTGCCCTCTATCAACAGCTTACGGTAGGGTGACCATATTTTTTTCGTATGAATGCTGTACACATCTAAAGTTTTGGGACAGGTGAGTGGAGAAAGCTTGAAACCAAGGTTGTTTGAAAGAGGTAGGTTGGCTGATAACTTATATGACATCACCTGGATGCCTAAAATAATGCAAATCTCCATTAGATCTTCCTGATGGGGGATTCTCAACCTATCGTCTCGACTATCCCATTGCCTTTCTACAAGTGAGTCGGGAAGATAAGTTGCGACTAGAGGATGAGAATCCCTCCTCTGATGACGTCATCTGTTTGCCATTACCATTTACCAGACAACCTAATAACTTTAGAAACCTTGGGTTGAAATTAGTTTTCTGACTGTTTCTGACTTGCTGACTATTTTCAACCAATGAAATTCGTGCTGACTGGTTTGTGATTGCTGCAGAAACAGACCTATTATGCTGTGTCTTCTTCTTAGCAGCGTGGAATAAAGAGAGATAAAAAAGGTAGTTAGCATTAAAAAGAATACTCTGGAAAATGATGGCGTAAATGACGTAAATCGCAAATGTAGAAATGTCGTTAGTTATTGACGGACAATTTTTCGTAATTTTTTTTAAAGAAAAACTTAATTATGATCGGATCCGAATCGCTGTACGTTTGCTGTACAAAATTAAATGCTGGACAGACTTTGAAAATGCTGTACAATACAGCGAAATGCTGTACGTATGGTCACCCTAGCTTACGGTAATTTTTGTTTATTTTAAGTTTTTTTTTTTTGTTTTTTCGTTAGGTTTAAAATACAAATGCAATAACAACAATATCTAGTATAGAAAAATAAAACTTATTCAGATAAAATAACATTGCATACCTAATGTATACACAGGATAATAAACAAATACATTATTGTAAAAAAAAAAATATTCTGTATAACATAACATTACAGATATTGGTAAACATGCTTAGGCCCGGTTTGTTTATCTTCAGATAAGCTCTTTGATAACTCTGCAAGATAAGTGCACCGTTCTATAATTCTATTGTTCGGCGGATAACTGGCCAACCAATGGGATAACATCAGAGATGTGCGTCTATACGTAGACTTTCATTGTCTACTTTACGTGTAGACAATTGTAGACAATGTAGACAATTGTAGACAATAGACAAAATGTCAACAATGTAAAATAATATATTGTTTACGTTGACATTGTCTACAGGCACATCACTGGATAACATACCTATATGGGTCAGATTATATACCTGACAGTTTATCAGAAGGTGAATAAACCGGCCCTAATAGGTATATTGGTAACCTTTGGCATAACTATTTAAGACTAGTCTCTATAGACGCGAAATAGCGATTAATTTTTTGCGGATTTCTTTCCTATTGGTTCAAATTTCACATTCAAATGTCCAATGTCAAATTCCAACATGTTAAAATGTCACTTTAAGCGTTGATTATCGTTAAAGCTTCCTCAAAATGGACGGTACAAACGACCATATAAATTCAAGAAAAATGGATTATTGATTGCTGATGCGAAAATACCAGAATTTTACTAAAATGAAATGTCAAGTTACCAGAATTATTACTAGATATATTTTGAAAATCTTCATTACTAAAACCGGGGTCGATATTACCAGATCTGGTAATTATTTTACCAAGTTGGCAACACTGCAAATCATAGTTTGACAAAACAATTCATATAATAGTACAAGAGCTAATAGTTGTATTCCTTTCAAGAGTTTGAAACACTCGAGCTACTCGCTCCGGTGTTCAGTCGCCCCCGATTTGCAGGGAACAGATGCGTGGTGCAACAAACACTTTTCGAAAGGAATAAGCACGTGAAGCCCCGGAGCTGCTCCTAGGTGTTAAAGGAATATAACTAAAATGATGCTGTCCCAGTTACTTTTGGTGACGATGGTACCATCGTCACCAAAAGTATCTGGGACAAAAATAATTTATATTAATCTCCTGGACTAATTCTACCTGCATTCATTTCAATGCATTTAAATGATAGTTTGACACTAAAATTCATATAATAGTTCAAGAGCTAATATGATGCTGTCTCAGTTACTTTTGGTGACGATGGTACATACAGGAACCTGCTTTTTTAAAAATTGACAGTTTGACACTGAAATTAAACCAATAGAAACCTGTATTACGTTATGACAATATCCTTGCATCATGACGTCATTTTCATTATTGACCTAGGTATTTTTTCATTATTTTCATTATTAACCTAGGGAGAGAAATTCAATTTTTTCCCAGAAAAATTGATGGAATAATGACTCAGGTTAGTAGTAAAAATAGTATATTATATACCTAGGTAGAGAAGTTAGTCCTTATATACCGAGCGCTTTTATAAACCGAGGCGCTAGCGCCGAGGTTTATAATGAGTGAGGTATATAATGACTTTCTCTACCGAGGAATATATAGAATTTTTTTTACTACTGCTAGTAAAAAATTAAAAATTTGTTTAAAATCTGTGCTCCAATTATTTTTTTTTGAACGCCCTCTTGAAAGTGGTGCCCTCTATCAACAGCTTATAATAACTTCCTATGTACCTACAGAAACCTGTATTTTTTTTTCAAATCGACCTATGAAAATGAAATTGAACCAATAGAAACATGACAATATCCTTGCGTCATGACGTCATTTTCATTATTAACCTAGGTATTTTTTCATTATTTTCATTATTCACCTAGGGAGAGAAATTCAATTTTTTCCTAGGAAAATATATTGAATAATGACAATTTCTCAGGTTAGTAGTAAAAAAATAGTATATTATATACCTAGGTAGAGAAGTTGGTCCTTATATACCGAGCGCTTTTATAAACCGAGGCGCTCGCGCCGAGGTTTATAATGAGTGAGGTATATAATGACTTTCTCTACCGAGGAATATATAGAATTTTTTTTACTACCGCTAGTAGAAAATGAAAAATTTGTTTAAAATCTGTGCTCCAATTATTTTTTTTGAACGCCCTCTTGAAAGTGCTGCCCTCTATCAACAGCTTATGATAACTTCCTATGTACCTACAGAAACCTGTATTTTTTTTCAAATTGACGTATGGAAATGAAATTGAACCAATAGAAACATGACAATATCCTTGCGTCATGACGTCATTTTCATTATTAACCTAGGTATTTTTTCATTATTTTCATTATTCACCTAGGGAGAGAAATTCAATTTTTTCTTAGAAAAATAGATTGAATAATGTCTATTTCTCAGGTTAGTAGTAAAAAAAAATATTTATTTCAAACATAAGTACAGAGAATACATAATAATATAATTATATTGTTGTCTATTATCTAACTGTAAAACAATCTTCAAACCTCAATATAGAAGTTATTATTTATGCAAAATATTAAAAAAAAAAAACACATTAAAAAGACAAAAATTCACTGCAAATTTTTCAAATGTTCCAAAGTATGTTTGCACATCTTCTGGAATTTAATAATAGTACCCTGTTGAGCGGCCTTTGTCAAATTATGACTCAGATCGAAAGGATCTTGAATGCACATGTACGAATTGGATCTGAAGATTTCGGCATCTTCGTAAGCCAGCTGAGTTACGTAAGCATCCATTTCTTTAGGCAAGTCTTGGGGACTGCCTTCGGAAAATACTGAACGCTTAACCAATTGGGCCAGCAATGGACAAATTACCTAGAAAAAAGAATTGTAATGGACTTTTATGCAGAGGAATAAGGCACTTACAAAACTGTTAAAATCAAATTTTGAATAATATTTGAAGAAATCTATGAGTAGCTCGAGAATTGGTTTGTTGTATAGTTTTATATGCTTTTTGACTTCGTCTATGGGCAAGGTATAATTAATTGTGCGCCAACCTGCAAACAGAAGCAAAAAAATATATAAAATAAATCGTTTGGTTAGAAGCTCTCACCTGCTATAGTTGGATGTTCTGCCTTATTAATTTCCCTCAGTTTTTCCACAGACAACAAATATCCATTAACTTGCAAATAAAATATACACAATATAGCAGACGAATATGTGGTAACATTTTCAAAATAAATACTAGTAGTCCATTTTTTCACTAGAAGCATCAATTGTTGACTGACTGGCTGTAATTGTATGCAAAATCTACAAAAAAATCTTACAAAATAATACACAAAAAAATATGATTATTTACCTTAAAAACTTAGTATTCTCAACACTAAGTCCGTGCTTGAAAGACAAATCACAATCAAGATTGGTTGATTTGTGATGCAAACGCAAAATAGGAGTACGAGCTGTTAAAACTTGCCCTATATGATTGTACTCGGTTTGCTTGAAAACTTTTACAGCTGCTCTGATCAATCTGACTTGTTCAAAAGGATCTTGATTAGTTTTACCATAATACGCTCCACCAACGTCCACGAAAACATCCAAGTCACTTTTCTATTCAATAAACAATAATTAATAAAATTATTTACAAAAATTATGAAGCATACATACATCATTTCCTATTCCAGAAATCCTAGACCCAAAAGGATAAACTTTGCAATGTTCAAACGCAAGTTTTAAATCGGTTTCCAGCTTCTCACAACAATCTCTTGTCAAAGAATTATTAATAACACCTTCAGCTTCATTAGCTAAAGCAATTGCTTGCTCTTCAATTTGCTGTTTAGAAGTGAATAATGTTTTCACTGGATCTGGCAGGCCCTTTTTCCTATCCTTACCAACAGACAAATGGCGCGTGAGAGACAATTCGTCTCCAAATATAACAGTTTGGCAAGTTGTACATTCATATTCCGTAACTCGATTTTTTCGGCTCTCTGCCATTTTGACGTGCCTGTTTGCACCGAAATCGTGTCTCATCCATAATTCCTCGCTGTTCGCCCTCGAGCTGCATATTTCGCAAAAATATTTGTAGTTTTTTTTTTGGTGTAGAGGAGAAGTTGCAATGTGTTTTTTCAACAGGAGCACTTTGTTATCCGGTATGTCGCACTTGCACAATTGACATTCTATAACTGTTACCTTGTTTTTTGTAACACGTTTCAGGCACTTGGCCTCTTCCTTCATACGATTTGGTAGTAATTTAAGGGGATCACTGCTTCCCGAGTTTTCTACTGATTTGATTATGTTGTGAACTAATTCTTGGGTAGGGTTTTTCGACATATTTTTGGCTTCTGAAATTTATAATTCAAAGATCTAGATTACTTTTTGTCCAAGACACATTCAGATAGATGTTAGCTCATCTAGAGCTGAACAAATGAAATGAAACAATAATTATTGAATAAATTACTATTGTAGTTCCCACAGATATCCGAGCCAAAGGTCAAAAAGAATAAATAAACTAAATAAAATATCAAATATCTGCTGATAAAGAGTAGAGATTACTTGAATTAGTTTAATACAGTTTAAAAAAAATTCTCACCGTCAACAGTTTCACTATCCAAATTTTTCTTGGCCTGTTTCTCTTTAATCCGCTCTTCTTCATTAGCCCTAATCTCACTTTCCCTCACCTCAATTTCCTCCTTTGTCACTCCATAAACTTGCACTTGCAAGTTAACAAGAAAAAAAGTGTTACTTCTCTGGTGGTAAAAATCAAGCACGCGATTTTTATGAGAATTCTTCTTAAGATGCACCAGAACATCTTCGCAATTTACCAATACATAGCACAAAGTACACCTGAAGACTTTGCATTCGAAGCATCTAAAATAGACTTGATGGGCTTGAACTGGTGGTTCTTGCCTGAGCCAAAAATCGTGAAAACAGCGTAGGTTTTCAATTACAGTAGGAGTTGTGGCTGAATTCATGTGTCTTTGGCCCATCGCGTGATTCATTAGTGAAACTTTTGTTACTCTTTTGCTGTTCATTTCGCACGGACACAAGAAACAAACAGCTCTAGTGTTTCCTGCACGCATTATACTAAAGTCTTGAACTTTATCGTACTTTCTTATAGATTGCATCATGTTTGATGGATAAAGTTTGTTTTCTACTTCATCATTATACCGCAGAGTGAAGTTGAAGCGAAAAACGTTAGCGTTTTCCGGTGTGGTTGGAGGGTAGTTTTGGATTTTTGTTTGCTCGTTTTCTTGGTGCTCTATGCCGCTGTCTGTATTGGAGGTGCTCTCACTTTCGGATTGATTAGGCATAGAGGTCGCATTTTCGGGCACAATTTCTAGTTCGTCACTTAATAGTTTGGAGTACATTTCTTCAAAATGTTCGTGATCTTGCAAGGATGTCCATATATCTTTTCCAGGTTGGATTAGGATGTTTTCGTTACATACACCACAACTGGAAGAGAAGTTTTTGTGTAATTTTTGTTGATGTCATTCTGGCAAAAATTATATTTCTTCATTGATTTTGTAGGATTTCGAGGATTTTGAAAATCTTCACATGATTTTACAGGATTTTAGGGAATTTAGGATTTTTGGAAAGTTTAAAGGATTTTTTTTTTAGGAATATTAATGAATTCATAAGATTTTGCTGGATTTTTTTGTTTTAATAAAATTTTGTGGGATTTTGTTAGATTTTCAGGGATTTTAAGTAGATCTTACCAGTTTTTCTGGGATTTTGACCAACTTGTATACAGATTTTGACCAATCAACCGCTGCGTTAAATGTGTACACATATTTTAGATCTTTATTGATTTTGTACGATTTTGAGGATTCTGAAAATCTTCACACGATTTTACGGGAGTTCAGAAGATTTAGATTTTTAAGATTTTAGGTGATTTTGGAGCATTTTAGGGGTTTTTGAAAAGTTTTTAGATATTCTCAGATATTTCTACAGATTTTTGGGGATTCCAAAGGATTTTTGGGAATTTTAAAGGAAATATTTTTTTAGGAATGTTAGTGATTTTATAAGATTTTGCAGGATTTTTTTAGTTTCAATAAAATTTTCTGAGATTTTGTAGGATTTTATACGATTTCAAGAGATTTTGTGGGATTTTGTTAAATTTTAATGATTTTGAGGATTTTTTGGGATTTCAAGTAGATCTTCTGAGATTTTCTTGGATCTTGACCAACTTGGATAGGGTATTTGTACACAGATTTTAAATCTTCATTGATTTTGTAGGATTTTGAGGATTTTGAAAATCTTCACATGATTCTACAGGATTTTAGAAGATTTTAGGTAATTATGAAGCATTTTAGGGAAGTTAGAAGGGTTTTTAGAGATCCTAAAGGATTTTTAGCAACTTAACGGATTTTTGGGGATTCCAATAAATGTTTGAAACTTTTAGAGAATTTTTTTTTTGTGTAGGAATATTAATGATTTAAGTAGGGAGATTTTTAAGGATTTTATAGATTTTCAGGGATTTTAAGTACCTACATCTTGCGAGTTTTTCTGGAATTTTGACCAACTTGTTCACAGTTTTTGACCAATCAACCGCTCCGAGATTTAGTTCTATAAAATAATGAACACATATTTTAAATCTTAATTGATTTTGTAGGATTTTGGGAATTTTGAAAATCTTTACACGATTTTACAGGAGTTCAGAAGATTTCAGATTTTCAAAATTTTAGGTGATTCTGGAGTGTTTTGGGGGTTTTTGAAAAGTTTTTAGAGATTCTAAATTCAAATGACAAATTTAAATAGAGAAACGGAAATTCTTAGACATTTTACTATAGGATTTCATAATACTTTTCCGGATTTCATCATAATGATTCTATGGAATTCCACCATAAAATTCAATGGAATTCTTAACAAAAATTCTTCAAATTACACTACGTATGAGATTTCATGAAATTCTTCGGCATTCTACTAAAATTTCAAGTTATTCCATGGGAATTCTGCGAAAATTTTTGCCATAGAAATACCTTAGAATTTCACTAGAAGATTTTATGGAATTCCTCGAAATTCCAAGTTTTTAGCCGGAAATACCTCGGAATTCCACTTGTGAAATTTTCTCTAATTTTACTGAAATTCAGGAATTCGATGGGAATTTTTCGGAATTTCAATTTCACTAAGATGCCATATTTTTAACTGGGAATTCCTTGGAATAAAAATAAAACTTCATGTAATTACATTGGGATTTTTCGGAATTTCACTGGAATTCCTTATGAAACGATAAGAGTTGTTCAAAATTCCACTTGAATTTCATGTAATTCCCTGACAATTCCTTGGAATTCCATGCAGTTGCATCGGAGCTCCATGTAATTCGCCGAAAATTCCTCAAAAATTATGTAATTTTTTGAAACTTTTTTAAAATTCTTTATGTAATTTGACTATCAACTATCACTGAAATTTCATGTTGGGAATTTCGGTGTAATTCAATGTAATTATTTAGAATTCCTCCATGCAACTCATTCAGGATTTCATATAATCGATCGAAATTCCACTGAAATTTCATGTAATTTCTCGAATTTTCATGTTTTTCGAGAGGAACTAAAATTTAATGTGAATTCTATGGAAACTCCGCAAAAATTTCACATTTCACACCATAAAATTTAATGGAATTCTTTGAATTTTTTTTTCTTCGGAAGGTCAAATGGTGAATTTGAATGGAAAAATCGAGGGAAAAACGGAAATTCCTAAAAATTTTACTATAAGATTTCATAATATTTTTCCAAATTTCACCATAAGATTTCATGGAATTCCACAATAAAATTCAATGGAATTCTTGAACAAAAATTCCTCGGAATTACACTATGAAATTTCATGAAATTCTTCGGAATTCCACTAATATTTCAAGTTATTTCATGGGAAGTCCGCGAAAATTGTAAGTAATTCCATAGAAATTCCTTAATTTTTCACCAGAAGATTTTATGGAATTCTTAGATAACATTTTTTCAGAATTACAGCATAGGATTTCATCAATTCCACTAAAATTTCAATTTCAAAATTCCATTATTATTCCATATTTTTTTTTTTTAACTTTACTGAAATTTCCCGAAATTCCATTACTGAAATATCCTGTAATTCCACAAAATTTTCATAAAATTTTTCGGAATTTCATGGACATTTCATGTAATTTCTTAAAAATTTCTCGGAATTCACTAAAATTTTATGAGAATATTTTGAAATTCCACATTCATAGCCAAAGATTCCTCAAAAGTTTAATGAAGAAGCTTCAGGGAGTTTTTCAAAATTTTATTTATTTTCATGAAAATTTTCTGGAATTTTACTGAAATTCTCTTTTAATAGCCAGGAATTTCTGGAATATTAATGAAACTTCAAGTAATTTCTTGAAAATTCACTGAAATCTCCACTGAAATATATTGAAATTCCTCAGCATTTCATTTGTGGAATTTTCTGGAATTTTACTAAAATTCAGTAAGAACTGAAATTTCATGTTGGGAATTTCTACATGTAATTCATTTAGGATTTTGTCGAGGATTTCGTGTAATTTAATTGGAATTTCATTGAAATTTCATGTAATTCGAAAGGTACTAAAATTTAAGTGAATTCTATGGAAACTCCGCAAAAATTTCACATGTAATGCTTTTTTCAGAATAACATTATTAATTCTACCGAAATTCCTCGAAATGCCACTAAATTATGAAGTTCTGAGAGACTTTAACAGGTTTATGGAGATTCCAAAGGATTTTTGGGAATTTCAAAGGAAATATTTTTTAGGAATGTGAATGATTTTGTGAGATTTTGCAGGATTTTTTTGGTTTATTGGATTTTGTAGGATTTTATGCAATTTTAAAATATTTTGTGGAATTTTGTTAAATTTTTAAGGATTTCAAAGATTTTTAGGGATATTGAGTTGATCTTATGAGATTTTTTGGGATTTTGACCAACTTGTACACGGATTCTGATCAGTTAACCACCCCTCAGTTAAGGGGACTGTCAGAAACAGGGTGACACCAGTGGCGTACACTCGATCATTGTATTATACACTCGATATTCTTGTTTGTTCTATGTAGAACAAATATGCAAGGTACACCAAGTTGGCTCAGAAAAAATCAATTGAAGATGTCCAAAACACTAAAAAAACAATATACGGTGCTGCCCTTTTCTATAACATCTCAAGATCCACAATAACACTCTTTGTATTTGGAATAGATGGTAGAGGAATATTATATGAATGAAGTAGAAGAAAGAAGAACTGTCAACTACTGTGCTGAACACCATGCAGAAATGGAGATATGGATTACTTACAAAGAAAATAGATTTCTTATTTTATTTTTTGCTCATTTTGCCATTATTATTAAACATTCTTTTCTCATCACTAAATAATACTTTTGTTGCGGCCCCCATATTTCCCATAATAGGGAACTTGCAAGTAAACTAAAATTTTCCAAATTTGTTTTAAATCGATAGTTTGTGCTGCACAATATTCATATGACCACTTTTTATTTAACTGATACCGCCCTTGTTACACAAAAAAATAATATTAAATTTGAAATAAAAATTTTCCCGCCAAAACAATGCTTCTATGATGGATACCTGTTTTGACGTCACGATTCTGTAAACAAACCCGTCAATAGGGAAATCTGTGATAGGGAACTTACACGTTAAAAAAATACAAAAGCAGTCCTTCACAATATTCTCCATCCATTGCGGCAATTTTCATAAAAAGCAAACTTTAACACACTTGAATAACACAAAAATAGCACTGCGTTAGCAGGAGTTTGTTTGCTGCGTATTTGATGTTTACAAAATCTCAACGTCACAAGCGCTGTCAAATTGGGATTTCGTGTTTTCGCGCCAAAGTATTTGATTTGAATTTCAATAATTTTTTTTTCGTACAACGTATAAATTGAAATGGAAAAAAATAAAACTATGTAATAACTGATCACTGGAAGTATCTAAAAAAAAATAATTTGAGAAATATGAAAATTCCCTATTCTTGAGCAAAAAATAAATAAAATTTGGTAGGATCTTTACTCGGATCTTTACATATACTTACATTACATTAAAATATGTTCCAGTTACCTCAGAATCATAATTATTTACCTAAATGCATAAGGAAATAGGGGTTACTGTTTCAGTTGCCTCAAAATTAGGGTAACTGGAACAGTTAACTAAAAAAAAATTGGAACACTCAACCACTGAATGAGAACAAACTAGAACGAATATGTAATTCTTGGGTTGGAAGTTATAGAAATTTAAAAGTGCTTCCATGCGAGACTTCCATGTATGTCCAAATTATTCCCATGTACTTCCAGAGCATTCCCATATACTCCCAGAGCATTCCCATATACTCCCAGAGTATTCCCAAGGATTTTCAAGTATTCCTAGGTATTTCCAGAGTATTACCAAGTATTACTAGGTATTCCCAGCAAAGTGTACCTACAGTGATTTCTATGAGTGATTTACCCCTCTATATACAAGTATATACAGTGTGATTTTTTAAGTGTGCAACATATGGTATGTTGCACACTTAAGTAATGACACTGTATACATGGGCCCTTCAATCTTGAAATAGGGAAGCAGCATTCCCATGAGAACGAGTGTTTCATCCTTGTTACTCTTACTATCATTGGCATATTATCGAGAAATCGTTCTCATGAGAACACTGGTCCCTGGTTTCAAGAACAGGTACGTACCCTGATGATAGAGACATAAGGTGAACCAAAAATACTTATTTCATTGATTGATTACATTATAGATTTTTCTTAAAGGAAAAGATTATCTCCGAGGGTAATTGTTGAAAAGTATGGAATATGAACTATGTTCGAAATTCGAAAGACCGAAACCACTGAAAGGTAACAATGAAAATGCACCTTTCCTGAAGATAGCACAAAGAATGTCTTTTCTTTTTATCTCAGGCTTTGCACCAGAGGTGAAAAGTAACGAAATTATGGAATATCTAAAACAAAATGAACTGGACAAGGGATGTTCATGTGAAAAAATCCACACAAAGAAGAGCAAATACCGTTCTTCATTCAAATTGGCTGTACCACACAACAGCCGAGATAAATACATGACCCCGACACTGTGGTCCAACGGAGTCATCATAAACCATTTTATAAACCTTCAGAGTCGAAAGATGACACTCAGAAAATTATAAGCGTAATGCACGCAAATGTAAGGTCATTATGAAACAAAACTGATGAGCTGGAAGCTTTTCTAGTAGACAAAAACTTTGATGTTGTCTGTCTGACAGAGCACTGGATGACTGGTACAGAAATTGAAACATTGGAAATTCCAGATTATAGACTAGCTGACTATTCGGCAAGACAAAACTCCACTGGTGGTGGAACTGCCATCTTTATAAAAAAAAATATTGATTTTAGTGTGTTAAGTATTTGTTCAGATTTTAATGTAGAAAAATGTTTAGAATGTTGTTGTATTCGTTTGACATATTTTAATTTAAATTTTTTAACTGTTTATCGCTGTCCATCAGGTAATTGTGACACCTTTTTGACATCCTTGGATGGGATGTTATCTCGCTTGGGCACGAACAGGCGAACTGTTTTAGCAGGCGACTTCAACATAGCACTTGGCAGTGAACATACCAACTACCTACAAATGCGAAATGTACTGGAGAGTTTCAACATGAAACAAACAGTTTTTGAAGCAACAAGAGGTGAAAACTGTCTTGACAATATTTTTCTAGATCAAGATACAGAGGTTAGATTGGCTGAGGTTTTTGACCTGGGTTTTTCTGATCACAGAGGTCAGCGGGTTGATTTCATAGCAGAAACGAAGAGACAGCCTTACATAGAAAACATAACAATGTCTAGACCTATAACACAAAGGGGTAAGTTTCAGTTCCACAATAAAATAAATGAGGCAGATTGGGATTTTATAAATGGGACTAATATGAATGTTGATGATAAATTCGCTGATTTCATGAATATACTTGAGAAAGCTTACTTGGACTCTTTTCCAGAAAAAGTCTATAAAGCTAAATCAAATAACCCACAAAAAATAAATTGGTTTAGTGAGGAATTGAAAACAATGCGTGAACAGTTGTGTTTTTTGCATGACCTCAGTATACAATATCAAAGTGAAGAAATTTCTCAAATGTATATAGAACTTAGGAGAAGATACAAAGCCGAAATACGGACAGCAAAGCTTCAATCTAACAAGAATTACATTCAGACATCTGGTAATCCGTCACGTGCTGTCTGGGAGATTATAAATTGCAAACGGGGTATTACAAAAAATAAGAAAAGTTCTGAAAATCATACAATCTCTCCAGATAACTTTAATCAGTATTTTGCAGAAATTGCAAATAATCTAGTAAAAGATATTCCACCAATCAACTTACGTCTTCCTGATATGAAGTTGACCACCACAGGAAATAACTTTTCTTTTTCTCCAGTAACTTTCAACCAAGTTAGAGACGTCATCAGTAACTTGAAAAATAAAAATAGCCGTGACCTTTATGGACTGAATGTAAAACTAATTAAATCTGTAAAAAATATTATAATAAGCCCTCTTACTAAACTGATAAACTTATGCTTTCAAGAAAATACATTCCCTCAAGTTCTTAAAAGAGCTGTTGTAACCCCCATTTTTAAAAAAGGTAACTCTCAACTACCTGAAAACTATAGACCAATTTCACTACTGCCAATAATTTCAAAGGTAGTTGAAAGATGTATGTCTCTACAAGTGGTTGATTTCTTCGAAAATAATAACTACTTTTCGAAAAGCCAATTTGGCTTTAGGGAAGGCAAGAATACAGTGCTGGCCATCCTGGACCTGGTCTCATATATAATAGATTCATTTCATAATCTTGAGTTCACCTCAGTCTTGCTATGTGACCTTAGCAAGGCCTTTGACTGTGTCGACCACAGCATCCTCTTGCAAAAATTTAAAAACTATAACTTCTGCCCAGAAAGTATCAACTTAATTCAATCCTATCTTACAGGCAGAGTGCAGGTAGTGAGAATCTCTGGGGTGGACTCATCGGAACGAGTAATGAACATCGGTGTCCCGCAGGGGTCAGTGCTGGGTCCGATACTGTTTCTAGTGTATATTAATGATCTACCAGCCATTGACAACAAAGCCAAGTACACACTATTCGCTGACGATACAACACTGTCTTTCTCTGCGGGCGCTCTTGATAGGGCTTTGGAGGTTTCCAGGGAGGCACGGGAAGGAGCCGAGGAGTGGTTTAGAATGAATAAACTGCTGCTTAATACTGGAAAAACACAACAAATTGTATTCTCAATGAGAGATAATGGGGACATAAATCAGACAGGCAGTGTTGGATTTCTAGGAGTTCAGCTTGATCCAAAACTACAGTGGGGACCCCACATCAATGAGCTATGCAGTAAGCTAAGTAGAGGCATCTTCGTTCTGCGAAACCTCAAAAACTGTGTCACTCAAGACATAATGCGAATAGCATACTTCTCTATCTTTCACTCGCATCTTTCTTATGCTACTCTTGTGTGGGGCCATGCTGCTGACACCAGTCGAGCCTTTAGTCTACAGCGGAGGGCAGTAAGAATCCTAGCTGGACTTCGTTTCAGAGATGAGTGTAAACATGCTTTTAAGACACTCGGAATTCTAACTTTGCCATCTCAGTACATTCTTGAGAATCTCTTGTATATTAAACAAAGACTGGATTCCTTTGAGTGCCACAAAGACAAGCATGACTACAATACTAGATATAAAGATAACCTCGTTCCTGCCTATTGGAGGTTAAAGAGGTGTCACACTGGACCTGGTTACTGGGCAATAAAATTTTTTAATGTGTTACCTGATGACATAAAAATCTTAGATTATAAAAATTTTAAAAATAGGATTAAGGAAATTTTAATAAGTAATGCCTTTTACAATTTTGAAGAATTTATTTCTCAAGTTTTTTAACTAGTGTCTGTTTTGTATATTAGATTGTAGGATTACTATATATTCATGTAAACATTGTATTTTGCCTGTCTTAATGTATCATTTTACTACTTTGTCGACGATTGTAAACATACTGAATATGTAAAAACATGAATAAAGATTTGAATTTGAATTTGAATATGTAATCAACATAATGAATCTTTATCAAAAATTTTGTTTGTTTTTGTTGGTTGTTATTTATCATTGTAGATAAAGATAAGTATTGAGTAGATTGAATTTTGAAAGAAAGAGCTTGATAATGTATTGAAGAGTTTGTTTAATGAATCAAATAATAGAATTGAATTTTTCAAAACAAATACAACAATAATGTCATTGTACCAACAATAATTGTAGCATTTTCAAAGCACTTTTTCTCAATCTACTTACCTGAAATGATACTTTCTAGTCGACAAACTTGTACCCAAATATTTCAGTGTCCGATGAACACTTTTTTCTAGACTCAGTAAAGTACTAGTAAAACTTTCCCTATCTGATTCTGGACAATGCAACAAAGCCAAGCCGTACTGACTATTCAACAAATCAGTAAATTCCCTTATCTTGGACAATATCAAGTCAAATTTTTCTGAATTTTGCTGCTCCATTATACACTGGATTGTTTGTGGATTTTTCAGTATTTATAATTTAGGACATTCTTGAAATTTAAGTATAATAATATTCAACGAACCTTTTTAAATCAACCACTTGGCACTTGCTTTGTTGGACAAACAAATAAAAATGGATTCTGATTAGGAAAACATGATTTGAGGTTATGTTATCTATTCTAGACTATTCGGCAACATTGTAATCAGCTGTCGCGTTTTTATGCTAGAAGAAAACTGTTTTATCGGCAATAATTATATAATTATATAATTCAAAATTATTGCATTTTTTCAATTAAATGAACATTATTTAATTAAAGTTTTACAGTTTTTTAGCTATTTTTATTGTTTTCTTATAATTTATTTACTAATTATTTAATTTAAATTAATTTATACTGTTTTTGAATTGCAGGAGTCGGATTACTGCGTTGCCACATTGCCTTGTAATTTCCTTGACATTTTTGTTGTTTGACACACACGTGGAAAACGTGTTGACAAAAATTTCTAGGTTTTTTTAGTAGGTATTTTTTTAAAAACCCATTAACTAAAAATTCTAATAAACATTGTGATGGTTTATAAAAGGAAATCGTACAGCGCCGGCGACACTAACCTCAACAAGAAATACAAAACAAAAAGGCGAGTGAAAGATTTGGATCAGGTAAGTTCCCAAACAATTTCCACCCAAAAACCTAATCAAATTCACTCAGATCGATGAAGATTTACAAGAAAAAAACGCCCCGAAACTTTTAAACCAAGAAGTCGATTTTGACAAGCCTGGAAACGCCCAATTCTACTGTATTCACTGTGCTAGATACTTCATCAACAATCAAGCATTGCAGGAGCATTTCGGCACTAAAGTACACAAAAGACGACTCAAGGCTTTGCAGGACGAGCCTTATACTGTGGAAGACTCTGAACGAGCAGCTGGGCAAGGCAGCTGGAAACAGCCTGCTAAAAGGAAAATTGAAACTCAACCTTCAACTGAAAATCAACCTAAAAAACTGAAAAATGCTACTTAGAACTGTTAAGCTTTCTATTATTCGCCAATTTTCATCTGCTCTTTATATAACAGGTGATAAAGCACATAAACATTTCGCAGTACTTACTCCAATAATAGATTTTGATGAACAATTAAAAAATAAAAACATTTTGCTTAAAAACTTGCAATTGAGACAATTACCAATTGAATTAAATACAGTTGAGGAGCGTTGGAATTTTTACAAAGACATAGACAATAAAAAAAATGTATTGGAACAAACCAGAATTGAAATTGGACAAACACTTGCCCAACTAAATAAACTAGATAGTAATGAATCTGTAATTAAAGAAATCCAAAAATTAAAATTACACCTAAAACTTGTTAAAGAAGATTTAAAAAATGTACGCAATATGAGTTACGGTATTGAAGAAGCAGCTGCTTTACAAGTTTTAAATTTGCCTAATAACCTACACCCAAAAACTCCTGAAAATGACGAAATAGAAGTTTATAAGTATTTGGACAAAAATGGCACCAAAACTGAAAGCCACTTGGCAATAGGCAATGATTACATAAAACTTATAAATCCAATGAGTTGCTATTTAACATCTCAAGCAGCATTGTTTGAATACTCCCTACAAAATTACTTCAATGAAGAACTAATTTTGGCTGACTATGTTCAGTTTTCTAATTCAGATTTTGTTAAAAGCATTATTGTTGAAGGCTGTGGCAACAATATTCAAAATTGTTTAACTTTAGAAAACATTCATTGTATCAAAAGTGATGATTTGAATAAGTTGCACTTAGTTGGAGCCAGTTCTTTGTATTCATTTATGGCTTATTTTACTAAACACTATGTGCAGAAGTTTCCACTTAAAGCTTTTTGTATTGGCAGAAAATATCAGCAAGTTAATGATAATTTTTTAAGTTTGTTTAATTTAAATCAGTCCTCAGAAATTAGTATATTTATGGCTAGTATAGATGATTCATTATTGTTGGAAGATATTGTAAATGAAGTTAGTCATTTTTATAAACAATTAGGTTTTCATTTTAGAATAGCATTATTGCCTGCGCATAAGCTGGAAAATGCTGAAAGCCTTAGAATTTCCATACAAATGTTTTCAAATAATTTACTTTGTTATGTTGAAGTGGGACATGTTTCATTTTATAGGGATTATATTAGTAAGCGATTGTTGTTTAATTATAGTGAGAATAAGGAGAGGAAGTACCCGAATGTTATTGGGGGTAGTTTGATAAATATTCATAAAGTTATTGGATGTGTTTTGGAGAATAATAGTTTGCATAATGACAAGCCTTTGTTGAATGAATTTTTGTGTAAATACTTGTAATAAATAAAGGGTTTTTATCGTTTTTATTCATTGGAATTATTGTTTTTTTTTTTTTTTTAAAGAGTAATCGAGGGGCAAACCACTCCTTTAAAAAATGTACACGTATTGCGGAAATCCTATGATTTCCAGGCCTGCCATGATAATTTAAGGGATTTCAAAGATTGCCATGAAAATCGAAATGGTTTCCAAGATTTCTGAAATAATCGCAATGATTTCCAAGATTGCGGGACTGCAAAATGATTATTGCAGGACTGCGGAAGGGATTTCAAAAAAAATACTTGAAAAATTGAAACTAGTAAAACTGCTTAATTTTTATTTAAAACCACAAATTTCTTTTTTTTTTTCGACGATTTGTATATCACCTTCTGGGCCAAACATACTCATCAAGTTCAGACTTCAGAAATTTTATTTTAAAGAGGTTTCTAATTGATCCAAAATTTCTAAAACACGTCTTCCAATATATCCATAAAGAACCGCATAGTATTTTTCACAAACAAAGATAGAAATTGTATCTTTTGAATTTGTGAAACTGGGTAACTCTTCATCTTCTGTAAGTTCTTCTAAGCCACTTGAACACAAGACTTATCTGCATATAGCTTCTATCAGTCTTCAGAGGAAGAAATGTTAAAATCCCTATTATTTACCAATTTTTTCCTAGTTTGACCTTTAAATATACTCTTCCCTGCAATCCTTGAAATCTTTTTGAATGTTTCTCCTTTACTACTCATTCCTCTGCACTGTATTCGTCTGTCGGATGAGAGTTTTCCCTTTTTGTCAAAAAATAGCCAACATAAAGTAGATTTTTTAACTATCATATTTTTGATGTATACTGTGATGCTAAGTCGAGAATTATCAGATTGCGTCTTATTTTTGCCATCATTATAGTCCTTGATTGCCAAGCTCTTGAAATCATTAAATATGTCCTCTTCTCCAATTTCTACCAGATCTTCGTGGTTTATTTCAGTGTCCATCAATGACCAACATATTTAAATCTTGTCATGTTTCATCAGTCGGAAGGTTAATTATTGTGGCAAAGTAGACACTATGACCGAGTTCACAAGATTTCCGCGACTGCGAACCTGATTTCCGCGACTGCAAACGTGATTTCTGCGAATGCGAAAAAGAATGCGGGATTTCGGGCTATTTTGGCGACTGTCTAACAAAGATCTCAGGATTTCCTTGTGATTTCGAAGATACATGTATTGCGGGGAATAGTTTGCCCCTCGAGAGGAATGAAGCAAATTCGATTTGAATTAGGTACAAATTTAAATTTTGGAAAACTTTGGAAGGGCATAACTTTCTTGCTATCACAGATAGAAAGCTGAAATTTTCACTGAATCTTATCTCAATAAAGGGACTACAATTCCTGAATTTCAGTTCATTTGCACTTATAGTTCTTGAGATAAAATCATGTTAAGCAATTTGGGGTGATTTATCAATTTTTCTGAGTGCCTTTTTTCATAGATTTCGACCTCAAATCTGAGAATAATTTAGGGTATGGCGTTTGGGGGATGTTAATTGACCATTAGGATACAAAATCTCGACAAAAAAAAAATTGAAATTTCCTCGTTTTAGTAAGAATGTAGCTACCTTATGATTTAGATTTTGGAAAACTTTGGAAGGGCATAACTTTTTTCCTATTATAGATAGAAAGCTGAAATTTTCACTGAATCTTATCTCAATTAAGGAACTACAATTCCTGAATTTCAGCTCATTTGCACTTATAGTTCCTGAGATAAAATCCTGTTAAGCAATTTGGGGTGATTTATCAATTTTTCTGAGTGCCTTTTTTCATAGATTTCGACCTCAAACCTGAGAATAATTTAGTGTATGAAGTTTGAGGGATGTTAATTGACCATTAGGACACAAAATCTCAACAAAAAAAAAATTGAAATTTCATCGTTTCAGTAAGAAAGGTGCTTTTTTGCACAGATTTCGGCTTTAAATCTGAGAATAATTTAGTGTATGGAATTTGGGGTATGTTGATTGACCATTGGGATAAAAAATCTCGACAAAAAAAATCGAAATTTCATCATTTTAGTAAGAATTATGATTTTATAGATTTTAAAAAAATTTGAAAGATCATAACTTTTTTTCTATTATAGATAAAAAGCTGAAACTTTCACTGAATTTTATCCTAATCAAGGGACTACAATCTCTGAAAATTTCAGCTCATTTGCACTTATAGTTCCTGAGATAAAATCGTGTTAAGCAAATTGGGGTGATTTATCAATTTTTCCACTTTTCTGAGTGCCTTTTTTCATAGATTTCGGATTCGAATCTGAGAATAATTTAGTGCATGGAGTTTCAGGTATGTTATTTGAGCGTTATGATTCAAAATCCGAGGGGTGTTCCACTGACTCCACTGTCTAAAATTATGTACAAGTATTGCGAAAAGTATGGTACTGCAAGTACTGTCAGTGTAAGCTCTACTACTGTAAAGGCTCGTTTTCACGGTGAGAGTACTCTCATGACAGCGCTCTCATGATAGTCACCTCGATAGTCCTATCGTGAAAGTGAGGTGTCTACACCTACCAAAAACTATCGTGACAGTAATCAATAGCAAAATGGCCGATACGCAGTTAACTGACGCGGTAGCTGCTGTAATTGGTGAAATAGTTAAAATTAAACGAAAAAGAAATAAAAAAACCAAGAAGATATGGGTGAGAAAATGGATTGCAAGAAGGAGGACACTTGGTGCTTCAGAAATACTTCTCAAGGAACTTGCTGTAGAAGACCCAAGAAGTTTTTTAAACTTCTTACGCCTGAATGAGGAAATGTTTAATACGTTACTGAATAAGGTAAGCAAATTTTGAAGTGATATAAAAGCCGTTTAACTAAGTACCTATGTTTTTTAAAGGTTAGCAGCAAGATACAAAAGAATAATACTGTTATGCGAGAACCTTTATCAGCAAAGCTAAAACTTCAAATAGCTTGTCGATATCTTGCTACTGGCGACTCACTGGGATCTTTGCAGTACCTTTACCGAGTTCCAAAATGTACCATAAGCCAGTTTCTACCAGACGTCTTTGATGCCATATACGAAGTGCTGAAAGATTATGTTATGGTACGTTCGTAATCATTAATTAACACATACTAATTACCTAATTTATTTTTATTATTATAGTTATTCACAACCCTAATTACCTATAATATGTCTTTTATAAAACAAAAAAAAAAAATACAAAAGAAACAGTATATTTCATAAAAGTTTTAAGCATAAGATAGGTAGGTATCTATTCTAAATAAAAATCGTAACTATCTTCATCATCTCCAGTCCAATTCTTGAAAAAATTCATGAGGCGTGGCTCTGGTTTCTGCACCTCATGCAGGCTATGATATTGTTCATTTCCTGAAGAATTTGACGGCTCTGTATCTTGTTGTAGATCCCTTACTCAGCTAGAAGTGGCCTGTGTTTCATTGTCAGATGAACTCTGCGTTTGCACACAACGTAGGCGAACATTGGTTATTAGTTTCTGGATATCCTGCTGTAGTAATATTGCATCTTGTAATGGAAGGCACTTAAGTTGGGAAGAAACATGTTGTCCAAAGGCATCAAATTCATTGGAAGGAACAGACGATTTTTGGGATGCCACCTGTTTCAGAACTTTCACAGCCTGGTCCAAAGAATCATCCTCCTTATTTATTCCTTTACTCGCGGGCCTTTTGCCACTTGTCTTTGTTTTTTTCGTTGACGAAAGGGGTTTCTTCACACTCCCTATAGGCTCTTGTGTCGACTCTTCATTTGCTGTTCCAGGCCGTGCATTGAAACTTTTGAAACTTGTCTGTGTATTTCTTACTGGGTTGACAGAAGGGGTTTCTATATGCTCCCCTGGCTCTTGCGTCGGTTCTTCATTTAATGTTGCGGGCTGTGCATTTGTCTGATTTTCTTCTGGAAATTGTTCTGGCAACATCTGCAACAAAAACAATAATAAAATATTATTTTCAATTTATTTCAATTGCTAATAATAATAATAATTAATAAATAAAATATTATTTTCAATTGATTTTTCTTTTCCAGGTACCACAAAGTGAGAACGAGTGGAACAAAATTATAAATGGATTTGAAACTTGCTGGAATTTTCCCAAATGCATAGGAGCAATTGACGGTAAACATGTTTTGGTCCAGTGCCCTGCTAATTCCGGTTCACAGTACTTTAACTACAAAGGCACGTTTAGCATTGTACTGCTGGCAATGGTGGATCATAATTATAATTTTACTTTTATTGATATTGGGAGTTATGGCAGCATTTCAGATGGCGGAATATTTGCTAAGTCCTCTCTTCAAAAAGCGCTTGAGGGAAATTTATTGCATCAACCTGACGGATCCGTTATATTAGGAGATGAAGCATTTCCACTTAAAACATATTTAATGAAGCCCTATCCCCGACGAAACCAATTAACTATTGCACAGAAAGTCTTCAATTATAGACACTGTAGAGCGAGACGTGTAGTAGAAAACGCTTTTGGAATCATGTCATCTCGTTTTCGTGTATTCAGATCCCCAATATCACTTGCTCCTCAAACAGTAGTGAAACTAATAAAAGCTGCATGTGCCTTGCACAACTGGATACGAAAAGTGGGAAATGATGTAGTAACAGCAGATATTGAGGAACATGCAACAGGTCGAATAATTCCTGGATCTTGGCGCAATGATGCTAGACCAAATGGTGTCGTTGATGTAAGAGCAGCTTTGCAGCGTAACTATTTGCCAGAAGCTCGACAAAGAAGAGAAGACTTTGCTGACTATTTTACAGGGACAGGAGCACTCGATTGGCAGTACAAAATGATAGAATAACAATCGAGAGAAGACACCGAAATAAATAATTTGACTACACTTCTTTCAATATTTATATAATTTAGGATGTAAATAATTGCGAAACATTAAATAAAACTTACCAAATTAGATTCTGAGTCATTTTCTTCCAAATTGTGCCTTAGAAAACTATCAGCTACGGAGAACCATATAAGTTTTGGTTTATATACGTAATTAGCACCCGTTCCAGTTCCCATAGACTTCTTTATTTTTGCCACTTCTTGATTATATGTACATCTAATGCTCCTAATTTTCTGCCTAAGTT